GTTAGCAAGTGCTGCTCTTAATGTTGACTGTAGATATTGTCTGACAGCTGGTCCTCTTAAAAAAAAATCTATATGAATCTAGAGCCATGTCAATTTTGCACATTATTTTCTGCCTAAATTAAATTTTGAAGAGTGAGATTTATGATTCGTAAAATGAAGAAATAAAGGTATAAATTTCAGCAGTTAGCCTTTTCTTTGTTCAGTTATCGTGAATGATAGCTATTTGGGAAATGAAAGGCTGCAGTTTTTTTTTTTTTAATATTTTTTTAGTTGTAGTTGGACACAATATCTTTATTTATTTTTATGTTTTGCTGAGGATCAAACTCAGCGCCTCCCATATGCTAGGTGAGTAGTCAACCGCTGAGCCCCAGCCCCAGCCCCAAGGCTGCAGTTCTTTAAGAAGTCTTTTTTTGAGCCAGGTACGGTGGTGTACACTTTTAATCCCAGCAACCCAGGAGACTGAGGCAGAAGGATCAGAAGTTCAAGGCTAGCTTCAGCAATATAGAGAGACCTTATCTTAAAATGAAAAATAAAAAGGGTTGGGAATGTGGCTCAGAGGTTGAGTACCCCTGGGTTCAGTCCGTAATACCAAAACAAAAAACAACCCCCCCAAAAAAAGCCTCTTATGAAGAGGTTGTAATAATGTCTACATACTTGGTATGCTTTGAATTTGTACAGCTTATTTTTTGATTGGGGAGTAAACCAAAATGAAAACAACTTTTCTCAAACTAAAGCCATGGAAAGATTTTTGATGTTAATGGACCTGAAAACTTTAATACTGTGAAGATGGCAGTAGTCCCCAAGTTGATCAACAAGTTCAACTTAATCTCTGTTGAAATACTAGCTGGCCTTTTGGTGGAATTTGGCAAACTGATCCTAAAATTGATATGGGAAGAAAAGTGTACCTAGAATAGCCACAACTATTGAAAAATAATAATTTTGGGAGGGGTTAATGTTTCTCAGTTTCAAAACTTGATACTCAAAGCTGTAGTAATTCAGACTCTGTTGTCCTGTCATAATGTTAAACATGTAGGCCAATGAAACAGTATTGAGAGTCTGGAAATGAGCTCATACATTTATGATTGGTTTTTGGCAAGGGCACTCAGACAATTCAGTAGTGGAAAAAGAGTATTTTTTTTAACGATTAGTGCTGGAACAGCTGGATATCCACACACAAAAGAATGAAGTTGAGCCCTTACCAAATATAATGTATAAAACTTAACTAAAAATTGATCAAAGAACCCACATTGAAGAGCTATAAATCTATAAAACTCTTAGAAGAAAATAGTTGTAAATCTGTATGATCTTGGATTAAGGATTCATTTTTTTTTTAATTTATTTTTTTATCTTTTAAATAATTAGTTTCTTAGATATGATACTAAAAGCACAGCAACAAATAGATGAATTTCATCAAAGTTAAAACCTTGTGTTTCAAAGAATACCATCAAAAAAATGAAAAGACAACTCAGAGAATGGGAGAAAATACCTGAAAATCACACATCTAATAATGATCGAGTGTCAAATCAAGCCTATCCTTAATTCCACACCTTAAGTGCAGTTGAAGTCCATTTTTCCATATGTAATTTTTACAGAGATTTTGTGTGTGATTATGAGTCTACTCACCTTCCCTACTCATATTCTGCAAAGATAATGCCAGTGCAGTGCTATTTATACTGTTTTCAAGGGGAAATGAAATTTAAGGTAAAATAAAATACACAAATAGCCACGGCTAGGCATGGTGGCACATGTCTACAATCCTGTTCACTTGGGAAGCTGAGGTGAAAGAGTAATACAAGTTTGAAAATTATGGTTTAATGGACAAAAGGGAAAAAGTACATTAAATTCATAACATACTCAGATATAAAGCACCTGCTGTTGTTATATTGCTTAATTTAAGGCGTAGCTCCTCAGTGTTCCCATAATATGAAGTAAATAATAGGAAATTCTTTTTGCCGACACATGTCTCTCTTCAACCAATCAGAAACCAGTATGATTTGTATGTAATAATAGGGTTTATTTGGAGAGGACCTATAAGTAGGACTTAGAAGTTACAGCTGGCTATGTATTAGGGCTTCTTAGTTGTAGCCAAGAGAAAATTGGTCTGGTGTGTTTAGTTTTTCAGATTTAAGTTCTGACTCTAGAAATGTACAACCTTGATTTTTCAGTTACAGGTCTTAAAATGTTACTCACTCTTAATACTTATTGAGGTAACATCATTGATCACTGCTTTTACTTTTGATAAGACAATTTAATGGGCTGTGAAGGAAAAATTAACAGATATTTAGAGATAATTTTATGAGAATGTCTTCGAGGTTTCCATCACCATCTCTACCGATTTTCCTCTCACCAGAGCCAGTAGATTTAGGTTCTGTAACAAGTTCTTCTTGTTCACAAAATGAGCTAGACAATATTTCCCACCTTCTAAGGAAAATATCAACTGATATCAATGAAATTAAAGGAATGAAAGCAGCAATTTTGACGGTGGAAGCAAATCTTTTTGATCTCAGTGTTAGAGTGTCTCAGAACGAAGCAAAGATATCATCTTTGGAGGTTAAAATGAATGAATATTCAGCATCGACATCTGAATGCAACAGACAGTTGGAAGATTTTCAAGAGGAAATAGATTTTGAATCACAGTCAAGGGCTACTGATGTAAAAATAATTGGCTTCCTTAGAAATATTGAGAAAGGTAAACTCTGGTATCTTCTAGGTACTCATCGTTTGATCTTTATCTTCCCATACATCTTGACTGTAACTCTGATTTGGAGGCAGTAAGATATAGAAAAGTCAAATTTTTTTGACTACATGATTTAACTTAGAAACCTAGAATTTGTTAGAATTCCACCTATTTTTAGTGGAGCTCTGTCAAATGATATAAAGATGAGCATAGAGACGAAGCAAAACTTTAAAAGTGAGAGAATGGTCCTGTTTCAAGTATCTGTGTGAAATTATTTTAAAATTTATAATTATTATCTACAGTTACGTTAAAGAGACCTGTTATGGTATTTGAATCTGGTATTTGGGTTCTAAGAACATTTTTTTTCTGTAACCTGTCACATGTCAGTTTTTTAGGTGTCCCGTAGGAATACAATTTGACCAAATGACCTCTGGGTTTCAGGTCCGTTTCTCAGAATTTGTGTATTTGCCACGATAATTTTGAAAGGAATTCATCCCTTTTTTTTGGGCACACCACTGAAGAGTAGTGTAATGTAACTTTGTTTTATTAGGAAATAACAAATGAAATATCAAATTGAGTGTTTTTAATTTTTTTTTTAATCTAATGAAATGTGGTACTTGATGAGAGATGGTCCACTTATATATTTGCAGTGATAAAGCAAAGCCTGTCCTTGGGAAACAACACATAATAGGTCCACTGTAGTATGTAACACTTTTTATTTTAAATGTAACACTTCTGTACGAAATTAGCAAGTTAGGTATGTAATATTGTTAAGCATTGGGACGAGAGGATTCAGAGAAGTGTCAGTCCACTCATGCAGCTAATGAAGATATAGTCATTTCTTGACTGTTTTGTATGTAGTATGACTATTAGTAATATTATGAATTAATATTATAAATCTAAAATGAAGAACTAATATGAACCTTTTAATAATGAACCATCATCTTGGTGATGCATGTTCAGCTACTCGGGAGGCAGGAGGATCACAGGTTCTCAAGGCCAGCCTCTGCATCTTAGTGAGGCCCTGTCTCAAAACTGCTTGGGGATGTAGCTCAGTGGTAGAGTGCCCCTGGGTTCAGTCCTAGTTCTGGGGGAAAAAAGAAGTCATATTAGCACTCTTTAATTGAACACCTTTTCAATTGGAGATTCAAACACCTAACAAAGGAAATAGTCTCAGAAATGTGTCACTAGGTGATTTTATTGTCATGCAAATAGGTTTCTACAAACTAAGATAGTTGCAACTGTCACTGGGCAGTATAATCCTGTGGACCAACATCATATATCTGATTCAACTGAAACCTCTTTAGCGGTGTTCTGACCACCTTCATGTTTGCCCATGTAAGGGCCTGGATGCTTCTGAGTGTTGTACCTGTTTGTTGCTCTTTCTGTATTCATCAAGGCCCATAGTTTACTTTTGAGAATTTTGTTTTCATTTTTTATTTGTTCTTTTTAGATATACAGTAGATACACATACATGGAGTAGAATTTATTCTAATTAGGATCCCATTTTTGTGGTTGTAAATGATGTGGAGTTTCATTGGTCATATATTCACATATGAACATGGGAAAGTTATGTTCTGTCTTTTCCTATTTCCACCTTCCCTTCATTCCCCATTGTATAATCCAGTGAACTTCTACTCTACACCCCACCCTCCTCCCCATTGTGTGTTAGCAACCACATATCAGAGAGAACATTCAGCCTTTGGTTTTTTGGGACTGGCTTATTTCACTTAGCATAATAGTCTCCAGTTCCATCCACTTACTGACAAAATGCCATAATTTCGTTCTTCTTTAGGGCTCAGTAATGTTCCATTGTATATACCACATTTTCTTTATCTGTTCTCTGTTGAAGCACCTTTTTTGGACAAGATAATTCTGTCTTTTTCACATTTCACTGTCTTAATCATCAAAGATCAGAGGATCAGTATGGGGGAAGTGAGCAGTATTGGTGAGACCCCAGGTGACAAAGGGAGAATCTGGGTTTGCTGTGTTTATGATACAGTTGACCATGGCCAGTCTCTTGAGGCCCTCTGACTTTCCTCTGACTCTAACTCAGTTCTTCTCTCACAGGTTTTACTTCCAGCCCAAGAAAACTGGCTTCTCAGATGGAGAACCAGGAGTGTCCTTGCTGTTTTTGGTTTAATCTTGAGTACAGCTTTTTCTTATACAGGGATATGCCTGTGGTCTATAAATATTATCAAAGTGTATTGTCAAAGCTTTGTTTGTTGACTTTTAATTAAGAACTCAGAAAGATTAATTTCTAGGAAACAAATGCTGGTATTTGTATTTTAAGTTTAGTGAAGTTTTAAAATTTATATTCTAGGAACTCAACAGAGGCAATTATTATCCCGACTGCAAATTGACCCAGTAATGGCAGAAACACTGCAGATCAGTCAAGGTTGGTAATAAATTTTCACTGTAATTAGTAGTTTTCTGTTGCCATTGCCATTCCTTACCCCTCATTCATTGTGTCTTGTATTTCTTAGATCCTGCCCTAAGATGTTACACTTAGATCTGTGGAAATATTTTAGGGCTTGGAGATAAGATCTGCATTTTCCTCATATTGTATGGTGTTTTTATTTTTTACCTCATTCAAAACCTTTTTCCTGCCATTCCTCCTTGAATCCTGGCTGTTCATTCTCTTGCTGTCAGGGACAACTCAGGTTCTCTAACTTGCTCTTCCTTGTTAACCCCCTTTTCCACTACCCTGATGAGCTTTAGAATCCTGTACTTTACCCACTAGTCTTATCCTCACTTTGACTTCACTTGAGAATCTTATTGCCAAGGCCACATATAGAACGTGTTTTAAAACCACTGTCGTATAATTGTTTGTCTCTCTCACCCCAGACATACATACCACGGGGGAATTCAGGACTGGGGTGAGTGCTTTAGTTGTTTCCTCAGTGCCCAACCCCTTCCACCTGGCACATTCAGTGCCTAATAAATTCAGGGGACCATGGGATACCTGAAATCTATTTTCCTCCTTTCTTCTGTTTACCCAAAGTCTGCTCTTTGTTAGAAGTTCTGGTCCTTGGACTCCTTCCCTTTCAACCCCTTTCTGAATTTTCTTCACCCTACAGTACAGAAATACAGTGTCTGTATTCCCTTACCCTTCTGCAGCTCTCTATCCCAGACAGATACCCTTTCCTTCTCTACGGATTCACCTTCATGCAGGTGCCAGATCCTACCCATCTGATGAGCATGACCATGTCACCATCTTCCTCCAGCTTGTCTCTGCCTTTCCTCTAGCTTTTTGCTTTTGCCTATGAAGTGTTGAGATGCTTTCCAGTCTTTATTTTACCCTCTCATCTTCCAGCATTCCATCCTGCTTTAGACATAGTAATTTTTCCCCCCAGAAGTTTGACAATCAAGGTCTGTATACGCTAGACTCACTTCATCGGCTTTTGTGCATTCTTTTTTTTTTTTTTTAAAACCTGCAAGTGCACATAAAGTTTGAAGTATCAAGTAGTTATTGTGTGGCTCATGAATGACTATAGTCCTTAAGTTCCTATCCTTTTTATCCCTGAGAAATCTTCAGTTTTTGCATATTCTACTTTTAAAAAAAATTTTTGAACATACCAATTTTGTTTCATGTTTGTAATACTTTTTATCTGAGAATGCTGAAGGTTTCTCACAATTCTTTGGATTTTTTTCTTCCTTGGTCTTGTTTTCAAGTTGTTTGTTTTGACTGTTTCATGGTAGAGGCTTTCCCTGTGGGGATCCTTGGTTGTCTCTTACTGAGTGAGGCATTCAAAGTGGATTGATTATTTGGTTCATGGGTTTGGGCGTGGGGGCTCTTGACTTCATATTTGAATGTAGGTCCTGTTATTGGGAGTTATTTGTCTTTCCTGTCTAGTTTTGGAGTGCCTTTAGGCCTTTCTTCTCAGGGTGGTTAGCTTTTCCAAAGAGGGCTGCATGGTGGGTTCCTCAGCATTAATTATTATGCAATGTTTACCTAACATACCTCCCCATTTCAGTGTGGACTTCTTTCAGTATGGCTTGGCATCCCTTGATGCAGGGATTCTCTGTATTTACCTTCTCACAAGCCTAAAATTCCACTGTTTTTGGTTTAATGTATGAAATGATTAAAGGTTATTTGAAAATCTACTACCTTTTAAACAAATTTTCATAATAAATATTTAGGTTGTTTTGTTGTGGAATGTGCTGTCAAAGACCATACTCTTTCATCCCTAGGCCTCTGCAGCACATCTCCACATCATTCAGAAGGTCTTCACTGGAGAGGTAGGGGTAGGTGTGGTGAGGGTCAAACAAATCAAATCAGTAGAATTAGTGTTTAGGAAAGACTGATTGCTTCTGAAGTGGACCCTTGAGCAGCATACCCCTCTTATGCCCTTCCCCTTTGCTGAAATTTCCTGGGCTTTTGGAGAATCTCATGATCTAAATAGGATTGCATTGTTTTGGCTTAGAATTCAGTTTTTGCAATTCTGTTATTAATGCCTCCTCATCTGTTTTATACTTTCAAAATGTTGTTTTGTCTCCTTTTATAATTACTTTTTTTGTAGGTATATGCTTTGTTGTTTACCACTTGGGCTGGGTGATGGGTACTCAGTGGTAGAGCACTTGTGGCACATATGTGAGGCACCACAGATTTTTAAAACTAATCTTTATTGACAGTTTCATGGGGCTTCAGGAGGGAACAAAAGTAATGCAGGGTCAGCTTGCTCTGTCTACCAGAAGACATCTCCCACTCTCATCTGCTTGTGACCCAGGTTGCTGATGGGAAGCTTACAGAGGTGACCTGGTGGCTGGTATATATGGGAAGCTGTGGTTTCGACACACACTTCCCTAAGCTCTGAGGCACATGACGCTTGCTTTCCATGTTTTCTTCGAGTTTTGATCCTTTGGCTTCCAGGACTCTGCTCTATTTGTTATTCCTATTCTCTAACAGCTTCTCTTCTCCACTGCTCCTCAGAAGGTAACCTCTTATCCATATCCCTGAGCTAAATTTTTTTGTGTTGCAGGGGGCGGGGGGCAGTACTGGAGCAATAACCCCGGGGTGCTCTACCATTAAGCTTTATCCCAGCCCTTTTTATTTTGAGGCAGGGTCTTGCTAAATTTCCCAGGCTGTCTTTGAACTTGTAATCCTTCTGCCTCAGGCTTCTGAGTAGCTGGGATTAAGTGTGTGCCACTACACCTGGCTCCTCAGCGTTATTTTAATCTCGGTTTTGTGTTTCTCACCAGGTGTGAACTAGTGGAACTACTTTCTTAATACAGGGGGAGGAAGGAATGCTGCAGCAGATCAACTTCTGGGCTTTGCCTTTGCCAGTCAGGAAATCTCGGTGCGCAGTTAAAGAACTGGGGGCTATGAATTGGTCATCAATAATATGGAAAAAAATACTGTTTTTCAGGCTTCCTAGGAGGATTCAGTGAGGTGGCAGCACTGAATTAATCTCTGCATCTCTCTCTCCTCATCTTGAGGGTCAAATCTGTTTTCTTCCTAAACATCTAAGAATTCCACAAAGACTTGAGGCTAAATATGTCTAAAATTGAAATTTACATTACCTTTTAAATCTTCTCTTTTTCCTGTATTTCCCATCTCATCTTTCTCTTAACCATCTTGTTCCCCTTTGCCATCTTTTCTACTCTTGCTGGGGAGAGCAGGGGTGTCCCTTCCTGATAAGGTGGTTCGAATGGCAGCTCTTGGGACATCCTGGTGCTGATGGGGTGTGGAGTGTGTCTTCTCCCCCTCTCAGATATGTTATAGGGACAGAGGGTTGAAGAATCTCAGAACTCATGTCCTTCTGTAACACTGTTTTTCTAAAAACCAACTTGGTCATGTCACTTCTCTACATAGAAATCTGTTCATTTGTCATTACTTCCAGACCAGAATCCAAAGAATTGAGACATAAAACGTCCTTCATTGTATTCTTGCCACTCATCTGCTCAGCCTTCTGCACACAACCTGTGCAGCCACTCCACGTTTCTCCTTTTTCTCATAGACCTTGTTAACTCCCTTGTTTTGCCACATGTGCTTTTCTTTGCATGAAGTGCTTTCTTTGCTCTCTGGCACTCATTCCTTTAATACTCACTCAACTCTTCATCCTTGGCAAGCTTTTCCTTGATTCTTCAGTTTGAGCAGGTTGCTTTGTATTTTCCCAACACTTGTTTGTATCCCTTTGAGGTCGTGCTGTTCTGGAATTGTGTATATGTCTATTTTCCCCTCCTTTTCTTTGTGTATCTGGCATAGTACTCTCAGCTGTGTAGTAATTATTTGTTCAGGAGTGAATATCCTGTGAATTTTGGTCCCTGTTATTAAAAAATATTAAATTTAGTTGGTGGCATACTGATAGGTCAGCCATATCCATTCTGGGCTGTAGGTCTCATATATTATAGTCAGTCTCAAGCATATTGTAGATGATACGAGCTTGTGGTTATTTGCATTGAACGTCAGTGTAATGCCCATTTGTGATAATTCCCTTTCAAAGTAGTCCTCTATCTACAATCAGGTAGAAAATAAGCCACATGAATTATTTTTAGCAGGTTTTGTTCTTCTCTGTAAGGACTACTGTGTAGAATGAGCAAAATAGATTTTAGAAAAGTAGTTCAACATGTGTATCATGATTCTAGGCATCTATAATTCTCCATGTCTTTAGAAAAAACTGTTCTGCTTTTAGTGGTTGATAATATCCTTTTAAATGAATCTCAGGAGAACCTTTCTCTGCTGTAGGCAGGGAGTGTTCATTCAAGTCATGTGTAATGTGCCATATGAGGAAGGGACTACTTGAGTTCTTTGAAAAGATGTTTGGGATAGAATTACAACACTTTTCCTGAGAAGAACCAGTTGTGATTTTCCTTTGAAAGTAACTGTAATTTATAAAAGATTGACATTCTTCTCACATGTGTGATGTTGGGAATAAAAGGTGTATTCAAAAGTAAACATTTATGGCCAATTTTTTTGGCTCAGATTACTATGACATGGAATCCATGGTCCATGCAGACACAAGATCATTTATTCTGAAGAAGCCAAAGCTGTCTGAGGAAATAGTAGTGGCACCAAACCAAGAGTCGGGGATGAAGACTGCAGATACCCTTCGGGTACTTTCAGGACACCTTATGCAGACACGGTAGATGGTTTCTTTTTCTTGTGTAGCTAATTTGTGTGATTAGATAGTGCAGGTCTACCAGTAGTTCCCAGCTTCCCTCCTCCCTGCCCCAGTTTCCAGCAGTGGGTGCTTTTATTGATTCAGTAGCTAGGCCATGAATAGTTACCTGAATGCAGTTTTCAACAATTCCAGTTCATCTTTCTTATTCAGAAATCCATTGATCTACAAATAAAACTTAGCATATAATTTAGCTCAGTAAGAGTTTTTTTCTTTATGCACATGCACAAAATGAAATTTTAAAAGCCAGGTAACCAGAATCAGGACATTTTTCTAAAAACAGTTTGTAGATTGAGTTTGAGAGATTCTTCCCTTAGAAAATGGTTCAAGTATTCTATAAAGGAAGAAAAGTACAGATAATAAAATTAGTATAGACATAAAACTGCTGGCCATTGTGATCTGGGCATCTGTGTTAATTTTTTGTTTTTTTTTTCCACGTTAACCTAGGGAGGATCAGGTGGACAGTGGAGTCAGTGTTGAGGGGAGATTGTCTTTAGTAAGCACAAGTTAGGTCACTGGTGATGCTGCAGTGACTAGGCATGGCCACCTTGTGTTATCAGGAATCCTCTAATGCTGTACTTGGAATCTTAGCAAGTCTTTTTTTACTGAACCAAACACCAAGCAAGGGAGTAATAGTTCTGCTGAAGAGCACTTTAGGAGCTCAGCGTTTTGTGTTTGTTTCCCTAATTCTATGGTATTTTTTATCTGTCTGGCAGAGATCTTGTACAACCAGATAAACCTGCAAGTCCCAAGTTTATAGTGACGCTGGATGGTGTCCCCAGCCCCCCAGGATACATGTCAGATCAAGAGGAGGACATGTGCTTTGAAGGAATGAAACCCGTAAACCAAACTGCAGCCTCAAACAAGGGACTCAAAGGTCTCCTCCACCCACAGCAGTTGCAGTTGATGAGCAGGCAGCTTGGTGACCCAGATGGTAGCTTTTCCTACGGTGTGTTGAGAGCTCAGATTTTCCCTTCTCAGGGTGCTGACTTGTAAAGGGAATCCTTGACTTCTTTCTTTTACCTTAAATAAATATTGGTTGGAGGCCTGGCTTTTATTTATATTCAGTAATGGCCTTTTCTTCTTTCAGACAAAACCATCTGTTATATCTCAGACGTTTTCTCCTGTGTTTCACAGCGGGGCAGTTATCTACACTTAAATGGAGTTTGGTGATGAAATCTAAATTGCCACATAACTATGCTTGTTGAAGAATGAACCATCATCTTGATGCCTTGGCTACTTTATTTTTTTTCCCCTCCCTTTAGAAACTGCTGTCACTCTTTCATGATACCAGCAGTAATCTTTTATCAATTAACTTGAGAGAAAAGTGAATTTGGATTTTTGATGCTCTTTCCACCTCTGTAAAATTTCTTAAGAGTTTTTCACCTTATCTATCAGGATACATCTTGGGATTGAATATTGAAGCATAATATTTAACAGAAGTTACATGAGACTGCTTCACGTAGTGCTATGCATTTAGGCAGGCAGATGTTTTTTTATCACCAACTTTCTTGTCCCCCCGGATACCAGTGGAAGGAACTATAGTACCACTGCTCCTTTTTCATTCATGATAGGGAATTTTTAGAAACATCTTTCATTGGCAGGAGAGAGAATTCTTAAATCTTAAAAATGAACAGATTCAAAGAAAAACAGTAATTTAAAAAATTTTCCCCAAGTACCCCTCTTATTGCCAGAGATATAAAAATGTATTGAATATTTTGCCAATTGCTTAAAGTATACTGTTGAGGGAGATGATGAGTTAGTGAGATAATACTGTTATCTTGGAGTGCTTTTCCTTTTGTGAGCCAGTGATATAGGTGTCATTATTTTGGTTTGTGGAAGGAGTTGAAAATTATGACCCTGTTAACAGGGAAAATTTAAAAATAGTTACGAGGGATGAACTGCAATAGTCAGGTAGTATAGCTTTCTTGACTTGTGTGTTTTGTCTAAAATAAGAGGAAGTTCTTTTTTTTTTTTTTAACTACTCTTATGTATCTGGTTTTAAATTTTTTTTCCCTGTTTCAATTTGATAGACTAATATTTTTTGTCAGGATCTAATTTCATTCTAATGTGGGTGTTCATGTTAGGCTGAGTTGGTATGTACAGTAGCAGTGACACGATGAATAATATGTTAGTGACAATTCTTGCCTAGGTTACACAGGTGCCGTGGCCGTGGTGGAGACAGCTGGGATGAGTGGTGAGCTTCCTTTCCCAGTGCTGTGATTGGGGTTTGCAGTGATTTGCTCCTGCCTGAGGAAAGCTTTGTAGTAACAAGGACATGAGTGTGGCATGAGAGATTCCTGAAGAGCTGTCACAAGGAGTATCTGCCTCGAAGAAGGGAGTTTTGAAGTTCTGCTTTTTAGTGGTATTACAGAGTGCCACCCTACTGGCCATCATTTTCTGGCAGCATAGATTTTGTAGCTTTCAATAAAAAGTAAATTTGTCTCTTAAAACTTAAATATGAAAAGTTGTAATAACTTATGAAATAAATGTCAGTTGAGGAAAACCAGAGGCATGACTTTTGTGTCTGTTGCTTAGGGTTTTCATCAGAGAAATTTTCCTTGTAAAAAGTGTTTCATTTCCTTAATATTGTTAAGTATTTTGCTATTTCAGTCCTTTTCCCAGCCATGCTGCTTTTTGATAATTAATTTTCATTTGCCCTGGGTCCTCATGTGTATGCCACAAATGTGTTGTTTAGGAGGAGGGCAGGACATGTTTTCTCCTCAAGAATAAAAACAGAAGTTTAAAAATTAGGAAATTCCTCTTCCCAGGCTCTGAGGTATTCTTTAGATCTTAGATCTAAAGCTGAATTTAAAATAAATGACTTTACCAATTTTCTTTATTTTGTGATGCTGGGCTTGCCTTGCTCTTGCTAGGTAAATGCTCTGTCACGGAGTTACATCCCAAGTCCCTACTTTTTATATATATATATATATATATATATATATATTTTTTTAGTTGTAGATGGACACGATACTATATTTATTTTTATGTGGTGCTGAGGATTGAACCCAGTGCCTCACACATGCTAGGCAAGCTCTCTACCACTGAGCTACAACTCAAGCCTGCCCCTACTATTTTAAAAGTAGAATAGAAAGTTTATGTATTAGGCGTGGTCATAATAGCTGTTTAATGATGCTCCTGTCTGGGCTATGATTGGATTCAAGTTCCATGTTCTGTAAGGAGGACAAAAGTTGTGTCCTAGGATCAGTAAATTAGGTTATAAGTGGTTGCCTCTTTTGCATTCTTCTTTCCATATAACCATCAGATTCTAAGGAAGACATTTTCTCTTTGTATAGATAAGGAAACTGAAGTACAGTGACGGTAGATAACACTTACCCAGTATGTCTAGCTGAGCTCTTAAGGTGCAGAGCTAGATTTGACCTGCCTGACCTCAGGCAAGAGGACTGGTGGAATACAGCTGCAGTGATAATTTACTTTCATAAACACAAATATGAACACATAACATGTAACACCATGATGCTATTTTTTTGGCTGTTATGTTAGGCCAGAAGCGAGCAGCTGATAGTGGCCTTTAGTAATAAATTGAATTGTTTTATTCAGTGTTCTAAATGTAAATTAGTTGTAAGCATTAAAAAAAAAACTGAAATGGGAGGATAAATATCTGGCAACACAGGTCCCCTCTCCTGTGCCATAGGAATTGATCTAATTGGACATGAATTAGTGGAGAGGCAGTGAGATCATTCCAGGTTGCTGTTCTTCCCCTCTCTCTTTCTGCCAATTATCATTCTATACTCAGCCATATTTTCTCTGAGAGATGACTTGCCCAGCCCCTATAGACAATGACATTTCTGACACATTTTAAATAAAGCTGTTTTCTCTTTTTAGACAGTGCTGTGATTTTAGCACCCAGACTTAATGAATATACTTCATCAAATGGGAACACATTTGAGCACTCAGAATCTTGCTGGAATATGAAATTTTGTTTATATTTCCTTATCACCTTATGTTTTTGGTTTCCATTTAATTTTATTAGCTCCCAACTTGACATCCTCCCATGTCTTTTATATTTAATTCAAATGATACTGAGATTTTGATGAAAATTTGGGCCTTAGGTATGTAATCACTGTTCACTTTTCGTTTTTACAATGAGAGGAGTATAGTTATAGTCTCCTTCCTGGTAATCTTTTTTTTTCCTATGGAATTTTGTTTATACTATAGTTAATCAGATTTGGGCTCCTGTATTATATAGGATTGTAAACTTAACATGTTAAGATTTTAAGACTGGGGTTTAACGGAAGTTTATTAAAGGAACCATGTACTGAATTGCTCATAATTAATGAGATACTTTTAATTCTTTCCCCTTTGTAGCTGAGATGAGTGAACTGAGTGTGGTACAAAAACCAGAAAAGCTTTTGGAGCGCTGCAAGTACTGGCCTGCTTGTAAAAATGGGGATGAATGTGCATACCATCATCCGATTTCACCTTGCAAGTGAGTAACATAAAACTGATGCTGGTTTTCAGTTCTGTGGGGTTGTTTTTGGTGGATAAGTTTGATTTTCATAACTAAATACAGTCATATGTACCGTGGCCCTCGGTAGAGTAGCTTACTTGTGCTGCATGCATACAGGTGTGTTTTGGGGGGGTGCTTCTTTTGCTTTGGACCTATTAGATAACTGAAATGTCTGGGTTCCTTAAATGTTTGTACTTAAGGAGATAGGTACATAACTGCCTCTGTTAGTATTACTGTGTTCACAGGCAAAAATTTTGTTGGGGATTTGGGGAGAAATTTAGTTATGGTAATGGAAAAGTATTTTTAAACTTCATTTAGTTTTCTTTGACCAGCTAGCTGGTTCGTGAGATAGCTTTTAGAATTTTTCTCTTGTCCTGTGGATAGAGTATTTCCACATTTTAATTACTGGAATGAAATTTTGATGTGGGAGCAATATGGTTACACATAAGGAGACCATGAATCTGTGTAGCACAGTACCTGGCCCATAGGATGTGCTTGCTGTATTGAGTTTATTTCACAAATGATAGACATTACTGATAGAGTATCATGTCTCTTAACACACACATACACACACACACACACACACACACACAAATCTACCTTTTCTGATGGTTTGGCTTTTGTTTGAAAACCTTTTTGTGTTGCTCCGGGCTTTGAAGGACATAGTTTTATCCTATTATAATATTTAGCCTCATTTAAAAATGGGAGAATTTTTTCCTCTGACTTCTGCATTTCTTAAAACAAGTAGTGATGGAGTACAAGAAGCCACTTTACAAAAAAATAATAATGCATTGAGAATATTAACTGTGAATAATGTGCTTTGTTTTGTAGAGCCTTCCCCAATTGTAAATTTGCTGAAAAATGTTTGTTTGTTCATCCAAATTGTAAATTTGATGCAAAGTGTACTAAGCCAGATTGTCCCTTTACTCATATGAGTAGAAGAATTCCAGTACTGCCTCCAAAACCAGGTTAGTGACTGTATACTACTGCATTTAGGTTAAAAAAAGAAAGCATGAGAAAAAGAAATTTAGAAATAATTTTGACATGGTCAATTAATCATACTAGTCTTACAGAGCTAGTATGCCCATTCTAGAGAATTCTGAAGTATTTTATCTTGACTAGTGAACACATAAAACTTAGCATACTAATTTAAGTGGTTTGTACCTCCATTAAAATCATCATTAGGGCTGGTATTGTGGCTCAGTGGCAGAGTGCTTGCTAACATGACGCACTGGGTTTGATTCTCAGTACTGCATATAAATAAATAAAGGTCCGTTGACAACTAAAAAGGAATCATTAGATTGCAATAAAAATTATTTTGTCAAATGTGATATTCTTTATTCTTACATTTGTCAGCAGTTACAACACCAACACCATCTTCTAGTAGTCAGCTCTGCCGTTACTTCCCAGCATGTAAGAAAATGGAATGTCCCTTCTACCATCCAAAAGTAAGAACTTGTATTTTCCCCAAAATCATTTTAGTGTGGAAGATCACTAAGAAATTGCATCTCTTCCTCTCTTTGTCCTTCCCAGTGTTATATCATTTTTGTCAGTTGACTTTATTGTCTTCAAGAACTATTTTAAGTTGGTTCTTGGTTGTTGCTGAGCTCTGTGGCTCTTCATGTTAAGTGGTCTGAACCTCTTTCATGTTAGTATTTTGAGCTCTGAGAGGATAGGGGTCAGCTTTGCTTGCCATATTTTCCTGCCCCTGAGCATTTGGGATTTTTTTTTTTTTTGTTTTTTTAACCTCATAACAGACTGAGATAATGAAGTTCAGAATTATTGCTTTACTTGAACTGATGGTTTTGTGTGCTAAAGATTGTTGATGTATCAGTAGCTGGCTGCTCAGAGTGAATATCTCTGAAATACCAGCCTGAAAATTGTTATTTGAAAGGCTTTCTGGGCAGGGGACATAGCTTAGTGGTAGAATGCTTAACCAGAATATGTAAGGCCTCATCACAAACTCACAAAAGCTTTGATGAGGGATGTTAGGCAGTTTATGGAGGGATAAATACTATATTGATTAGAAGTCTGTATGGTATGCTAAGGTTTGAAATTCCACTTGCTGTGATTCTTTGATTAGGATTTTGCATCCCAGGGAAAGGTTCATTCATCAAAGGTTGCCAGGTATCTTACTCCATTAATGGTTAGGGGTGGGCTGGTTACTCTCAAGTTGTGTTTAATTTTATGCATGTTATTGAATGCTGCTGTTTTATTCATGCTGTTGTTTCTATGTAGCACTGTAGATTTAACACTCAGTGTACAAGACCGGACTGTACATTCTATCATCCCACCATTACTGTACCACCAAGACATGCCTTGAAATGGATTCGACCTCAAACCAGGTAAAGATGAAAATTAATTCTCTTGATGTCATTTTCAAATATTTTTCTAGTATGTAGCTTATTTAATGTATAAATCCAGAAACCTGGGAGAAATTGAACTATCACTCTTTTCTTTTTCTTGTTTAACTGTACCAGGGACCCTTTAGCAAAATGATTTACAATGGACCAAATTTTATTTTATCTTGTGATTACTTATTTTTAGCCTACACATCAGATTTCTTTGAATTCTGATCATAAACTATGCTATGTGTGTATGTAGTACTTATGAATCTCAAATCATTTTCTTAGACATTAGCAATTGTAAACTATAAAAAGGAAGTTTGAACATAATTTATTGTGGCCTATATTTGAGTTACATATTTTGTTTTATAAAATTGACTTTTTTATTTTTTTAAACAAAGTCTGATGTAACTGCATGACCAATATTCCTTGTCCAAAGAAACTCCTTAGCTGGCTGAATGATACATCTGGGTACAAAGCAGTTTATTAAAAGTGTTTTTTTGGTTTTTGTTTATTTAGTGAATGACGCCCAGTCCTATCTGGTGGAAGATCATGCAGTTTGAAAGGTTCCATCTACTGATGAAAGATAATTCTACAGAATTTGTCGAATCTTTGAAACTTGGAATATATTGCTTTCATAACATGAAGTTTATTGTCTATCTAAAGTGTCTAATTTTTCAAGTTTGTAAGTTTATTAAGTAGTTTTAACATTGGGTGTTTTGTTGTTGTTTTGATTATGAAAAGACAGTTTAAGGAAAAGCTAAATTCTATTAAAACATTTGAGGCATGTTTGTACACTGCTGCTTCAGTCTCAGCACATGCCATCATTGTTAGTGATGGTTCTTTCAGTTTAGGACCACTGGCTGTACTGAGGAGTGCTGTTATTTTGAAAGCAGAATTGCTTTCACTCTTCCCAAAGATGATATGATGTTTGTAGTCCACCATGAAAACAGGAGTGGCCAAAAGTATTGAGGCAGCTTAAAATAGTCACTCAAATCTGTTTTAATTTTTAAAAGAATTTAGTTAGAAAAACATGGTAGTACAGGCCTCTGAGTTTGAGTGCCACTTTGGTGCAGTGGTCCCTACGTCCCTTGCCTTCTGTGAAAGGAGTGTGATGGGCATAAACAAGAAAGCAATTGGAATGACAAGTGCAAAAAATATGAACAATTCCTTTAAAATACTTTCATTTACTATTAACATACTTTTTAAATAAACTTTTTGGGGAACTACATTGTCACAAAATATACAAAAATTTTTACAAGTATATACATTAGGATCAGAGAAAACAAACTTTTAAACAGATTATAAATATATATTCCCACATTCTGAAAAATAACATTCTCAGAAATAACTCCACAGAAAATACACTTGGTTACTACTGAAGATCATTTTTGAAATGTAAAAATTAGATTTAAGTCATATTTTTAAATGACAGAGCTATATAATTACAGAGATCAGATGGGTAAACTGCAAGATAGGATGAAACTTTTGGCCTACTGTATTTATTGAGTTTTGTGTGTGGTTTTTAAAATTGTTAAGGCAAGATGTGTCCAATGCTTTAGAATTAAATAACAAACAGATAATTGATTTTATTGATGTATAGTAGTGTTTTTAAAAATTAAATCTTAAAAAGTGGTTAGTAAAGAGTGAATTAATGCAGATGGGATAATAAAGATTCAGATGTTTTCAGGACCAAATTAACTGTTTAAAAAAAAAAAGATTGACTTAGTCATATTCTTGAAGGATGGATAATAAACCCACATCTATAAAAAGCATTTTAAGATCATAAAGCCAGGCTTCTACTGTTGTGATCATTGGTTTTTCCATTGGGAGAAGAAACAACTAGTTGTTAAACCATTTGGTGAGCTGCACTTGGCTGTGGAGATCCCAAAATGAAGACTTGAAACACTGAAAGAACGAAGCACACAAGGGCGGTACAACCACTGTGCTAGGCTAGGTGAGGTGACAGTCCCCCTCATTCTCAGAGTGCTCCACTGAATTTAAGGCATTTGTTCATTTCAGTGTTGATGCTTTGCATCTCTGCAGAAGAAATTTGTTTTTAAATGATTTATTTAATAAAACTATCATTTATAAATGGTTTCTAGTTTTCATAGTTCCATTGGAACAAGGGCTTAAGTGGTTTAGCGTAAATCTTTTACATGGAAATAACATGCTAAAATCTGATTGTTTTAATATTTATCTTTCAGTTTGTGGGCAGCTTAAAATTGACCCTAAAATATTTGTTGGTTGGTCTAACAGAGTCTAAAATGAACCACTATAAAAACAGAAGGCGGATGAAGATGGTTGGTGATAATGAAGTAAATAATACCAAAGTGTGTGATGTGCTTTGGCATGCATGTATAGACATAAAAGAATTGGGACTACAGTGGCCACCAGTCTCAAGTTGTAAATTCAGGAGCATAAATGCTGCACACAAAAATAATTCTCTAGGCTAAAAAAATATAGGGCAGATTTTATGTGGTCATGTTACACCTTCCCTTAGTTGATGGCTAATACAGCAAGGTGGTAAGATGCCCACTTAAGTCAAGGTGACCTTCAGTCAGGAAACTGCCATAGCAGTGATTAAGTGATTAAGGCTGACTTACCAGGTTAGTCACTTTGATGGACAAAAATGCAATGGAAGCAGTTTGTGCTATATAGATTACTTCCTTAAGAATATAGTTTGACTATATTGTGATGGAATTGAAATTTTTGTCTTCCTCAAAACGACACACTTAATAATGAAAATTTAAAACTACAACAGGCTCAAATTTGCAGTAATTTTCTTTTTACGTGAGGTTGGCCCCGGATGCCTTTTCCTTTAATTTCTTCATAAAATATGTTGAATAGAATTAATATAATCTAAAGTTTTGTTTAATTTAGGAAATCCCGCCCCCCTTTCTTTTGTGGTACTGGGGATGTAACCCCCAAGGCCTTGTGCACGCTAGGTAAGCACTGCTTCCACTGAACAATACCCCCACAACCTTATTTATTTATTTATTTTTTAATTTTGAGATGGGGTTTTGAGTTTCCCAGGCTGGCCTTGGACTTGTGATCCTCCTGCCTCAGTCTCCTCAGTAGCTTGCATTGGAGTTGTATACCACTATCCTTGGTTTAGGGAAATTTTATTTATTTATTTTTTGGTACTGGGAATTGAACCCAGCCTGGGATGCTTAACCACTGAGCCACATCCCCAGCCTTTGAGACGGGGTCTAAGTTGCTGAAGCTGACCTCAAAACTTGCAATCCTCCAGCCTCATCCTCCCAAATCACTGGGATTTACAGATATGTGCTACCACACCCAGCTAGGACAATCTTTTATTGTGAATAATGACAGAATATAGTCTATGTGTCAAGTTTCTTTAATCCCTCATTCAACCCTTGAGAGGCAGCTATTTTACTTTTAAAACTGACCAGGTTCAATCACTGATTAGGCTTTCTGTGATGTAATTTAGTCATTTTAGTATTCCCAGTGTTGGCCACAGAAAATAGATATTGGGAATCTTCATTATGTATTACCAAACTAAACTAGGAATCCGAGAAATCTAAGGGTTTCTATTACCTATTATACTATAAAAGAAAATAACAGTAAATTAAAAATTTATAGGACCAGTAGTACATCTTTAACTTCTTTACATTTAGAAAAATATATTTTTAAGCAGCACTCTATTTAATTTTCAGTCTTCAAGAATCAGTAGATAGACTAAAACAGCAAATTCCTGAACAGTGATTACTGATCTTTGGCAGCATTTAAAGTGAAAAGGACTGTGGATCTAAAAGTTCAACCTCAATCCACTAAGAAGGGATTCTGACAAGTTTTCAAATGGACCTAGGTTCATATATTTTGGAAATTAGCTGATGGAGGGGTGGCAATATGTCTAACTAAAATTTTCCCAATAGAAAAAGCTATAAAAGTTTTATACCAATAATTATTAAATTATGTTTGTGTGAATTTAATGTTAATCAAATGTTTATAGCGTATATCTTTAATATGCAGTGCTTTCTTCCACTTAAATACTATTGTTATCTGAAAACCTTAAAAAAAACCCCAAAACTGTAGACCACTGGAAATGATTGTTCATCATACTGCCTTCCTAATAATGAGGCTATAATCTTAAAATTTCAAATATAGAGATGGCTTTTAAACAAAAAGATTTGACAGCTTAGAAGTGAAAATATAGCAAGTCACTACACTACTAACTTTGGATTTGTTCCTCAATTCAAACTACAAGGAGAAATGTCCTTATAGTTATTAATGTATGAGAAACATTCTCCAGGAAAACTTGTGTTTGTTTCCATAGGGAAAATGTTTGCCTTTTGAAAACTGTTCTGTTAGGGTGAGGTGGCTTTTCCTTTCTAAATGGAAATGCAAGAATAAAATACTTAATTGGAAAAAAAAAAAGGAAATAGTTTTCCTAAAAGGAAGCTGAAAATTTTCCGAGTTGGGTTTTTACATTTTGGAGTCTTTTGAGGAGTGCTGTACCCTACATCTCCCCAACAGGTTTGCCAAAATTGCACTCCTCAATAATAATGGGGTGGCTTTTATCAACGAGTATTCAATCCTTCCTTCAATGTAATTATCTGGCAGTGAATGAATTATGGACAGTGTGTATAGCAAATGTTTTGAACTTAGCAATCTTCTACTAGTCTTGATGATTCTGGGCATCTCTCCCTGTTTAGTCTGCAGTTAGCACCACTTGACCATGCAGAGTTTGGTTTTGGTTGTTTTTCTTCTTTGTAATTCTGATCTCTAAAGACTGTTAATATGTGTTGTCTTCCCAACATCCATTCTTTCAGTGAGGCATATGTACACATTTCCAGACAAATAAACTGCAATCAGAAAAAAAAAAAAATGTAAGGGAGTTCATTACATTTCTAGATTTTCAGAAGTTTGTATTTCCCATTAACTCTTTATTCTGTATTTGCATAAGTATATATATACACTACCTTTAGAAAATGTTGAGTTTATTAACCAGAGCTTTCAGAAGTTTTATATTAAATAGTAAAAAGATAGTCTGCTCTTCTTGGACTAAGAAAGCTACTGACCTGCAATCATCACCTCCAGCGCTGATAACATGTCGATCGCCATTGGTAAATCGAATATTTGTCACATGGGGTGAGTGACCCAAGAACCTTTTGTGCTTTGCCTAAAGAACAATGACAGACAAAACTCAGAACATTTTATTTAACAAAAATTAAAAGTTGTTATTAGGAACCATAAACTTTTAATCACAAGAACTATGGAGAGAGAAGGGAGTTAGGACCACACCCAATGATTAAAATTTTCTTTCAGAGACAGTAACAGATCTATACTTAACACAAACCAGGTTATCTGGGCAGTCAGATGTCTTCAGGTCTCTGAAAGATTTTAAGAAAAGCATTGGAAATTTGATAACTGACTTTTAAAGGTTTGCTAAAAAGATCATCAGAGGTATTATTGGAGGGAGACCTTTTTAGTTGTTGATGGACATTTATTTTATTTATTTATATTGGTGCTGAGAATTTAATCCAATGCCTCACATACGCTAAGCAAGAGCTCTGCCACTGAGCCACTATCCCAGCCTGACATTTATTTTATTTGCTTTCATTTGTGGTAATGGATTTAGGAGACTTGAAAAAAGGGTGCAAAAATTTGAAAGTATGAAACATTTGAAATATGCTTTTAAAAGTCGAGTCCAAACATTTGAATATTTCCGAAAAAGTACTAATGATCACATCTAAGCTATTTGTAAAATGATAAAAATACTAAACAAAAAAAACTTACAAATTTTTCCGGACATGGGAAGTCAAATAATTTAACCATGCCAAAGTCATCTCCTGTTACAAGGCTGATTCCTGAATGAGATACACAGGCACAGTTGACATCGGCTTTCTCGGCATGCCTGGACCAGATTCCCATAACTTCATCTCCTAGAATACTAGAGAGAAAAAGAACATCCACAGAGTAAACACAGATGGATTCACTATCCTGAAAACAATCCTTATCAGTCTGTATATTATCCTGTCATTTAAAATAAAATAAGGCAGGTTGGAGGACTGGATTTCATCTGGATGTTAACTCCTACCTTTTAAAAATTGAAGTTCTATAATATAATAAGGGTTTTATAAAACCTAAAAATTTTTTCCTAAAAACCCAGTTAATACTTTAGGAAAGCTGACTGAATTATTTTTCAAATTAAAAGTGATATCTATGCTATAGGAATTTGTCATTTTTTCATTGACCAAAAGGATGGATGCTCCTGGTGACCTGTCATACCGTCAGCAAATTTATCAAATAGATAAGCTTCATTTCTAACAACGCCAGTGTAACATTCCTTTGAGTAGAATATTACTACTACATTACTTAATAGCACCTTACATGTATTTTTATTGCCTGTTTTAATTTTAAAGAAGATTTTTGTATTTGTTGTACCAAGAATTGAAGCTAGATATATCCCTTGACCCTTCAAAAAAAATTTTTTTTGAGGCAGGGTTTTTGTTGAGTTGCCTAGACTGGCTTAGACTTGAGATCCTCCCAAATCACTGGGATTATAGGTATGCACCTTTGCACCTGTCTTTAAATGTTCAGGAACATATCAGGGCATTTTAAAAATCATAACTTCGATTTTTAAAAAAATTTCTTTATAAGAACTTGGTAAATCATGGAGACTGATAAAGCACGTAAATATGTTCAATTCAAAGGGATGCAGCATGAACATAAAATTATTTTCCTAAGAGTTCAAGATATGGTAACAGAAACATGGAACTCAATTACTATTCCCTTGTGGAATGGCTCTTAACTATTCAGAAACAGGATTTTCCAAGTTACCTAAAAAGTTGCTGCTGCCCTTTCATGCAGTATTTACCTAGTCCATGTAGCCCAAGTAATTCTGTCAATGGCAGCATGATCCAAAAGATGTTTTCCTGAAGGCACTTCATAGACAAGCCGTTTATAGCAACCACTAGAGACCTTTTGTCAAATTAAAGTGAGACGAGAATCCCATTAGGTGAAGGCAAAATCCACAAGGGGTTTATAGAACACTGGCAAATTGCTACTTTGTTTTACATATTTTAATGTGAAGAATGCCAAAGTCACTATGGGGAAAAGGGTAAGTGGGAAGGAAATGGAGAGAATGTAGGCCAGAGTAGTAGATGTGTAGGATGAACATATCTCAAGGCTCAAAGTGCAACATGAGAACTACAGGTAGTAAAATTGTATTGTATTTGATACTCATGCTAAATAAGTAGATTTAGCCAGTCTTGCCACAAAAAGAGAAATGGGTTTCTGAGATGATGAATATGTTAATTTTCTTCACTATAGTGACTTTTACTTTCACTATAGCAACACTGTCTATAAATATGTATTCCATAACATGTTGTGTACCTTAAATAGAGTGAAATTTATTTTTAAAAAAGAATGGGGTATTACAGATTTGTAATGCAAAAATGATGAGTGGTAACAAAAGGCAAGAGCTGAGAAGCCATGGAACTCTGCTTTAAATGCATTCAACGTAAAAGCAGAAATAACCTTGTAAACTGGGTATATGGTATTAGGTGCCATACCTGGAGATATCTGCTATCTGCAGAGAAGTCCATTTGAATGACAAAGCTTGGGATGTCTTTGCAATAGCTGATTCTGTTAAGGGTGGGGCCCAATGTTAGGTCATAAAAATCCACTGAGTTCTCACTAGAACCAACTGCCAGATATCGGGAATCTGGACTAAACCTGAATATATAACATAATGTAAAAAAAATACATTAGATCATAAGAAATAGTTTAAATATTTAAATATTTAAGAAATTTCCTTTCTAGCTCTTGAAAGTAAGTTTGTGATACGGTTTCAAGTTTGTCTGACACAACTGATCATGTATATGGAGACTGTATTTGTTAAATGAAATAAGAAAGTTTTACATTTCATTTGAATATTCTATTGTTATCACCCAATTACTTTAAAAATATCTTTTAAAAAATCCATTACCATTCCATAATTATTAATATAATTCACTAAGATAGGATTCTTTCAGCTGGAAAAATGATGTCTTAAAGCTGCTTTAAGAACATTGTCCAGCTCAACTTGCTTCAGCTTGTTGAGATGAAGTGACTAGTTGAAGCTTGGAAAAACTTGTGTTAAAAGACAAAGTGAATACAATTTGCCTGGTAAACATGGGAGACAGCCTGAGACAGTCTGAGAATGTTCTATGAGTCTTGTTGAGATAACTTAGGGACATGTAGGGGCAAGGAAAGCCACTTTTACTGTTTTTACACACTAAAGTTCTGAGCAGGTTTCATTTATGAAAGGATTTTACTGGTGAAGAAAGCACACTTTGACAGATGCAATAATTTCATCTACTGATCACAGAGAAGTGCCCAGTGAAGTGGCAGCTCAGTTAAATAAGCTTAAGCACTGAAAATTAAAATTTCAAAAAAAATGTTTAATTCCCATTCTGGAACCTGATAGGTGTTCAGTGCTGACAGACTGAATGAACAAAACTGAATGAACAAGAAATGGGAATCCAGAGAACATATCTCAAGGCTCAAAGTGCAACAAAGGAGAAACATGAAGGGAAAGGTCACAGAGGATAATCTGTGAAGCCTAACTGATAGTAAGAGAAGCTATGTTTGGGGTTATAACTCAAACTTCTAAAGGGCAGGTGACTCTATTAAGAGTGAGAGTTCATAATGAATTTGCTGTACATGTTTAGTGTGACACTAACATTACCTAGTACTTCGTATTATAAAGCACTGGTTGGTGCCCCATGGATTTAACATTGCAAAGAGAATTATGTATATAAGTGGCCACATTTCAGCATACAATTTACATAGAATGCTATAAGTCATATGGCCTTTTTTGAAGATGTAGATAAGGTTTTTTGCAAGTTGGGCCCAATTACTAAAAATTCTATTCCATTTGTCAACTAACCTGATATCATGGATTGCACATCGTCTATCTCTCTTCTTTCCCCATATTTTTAGAGAGCTCACAAGTAAAATAATAAATTCTCCATTTTTCATTCCAATAGCCACCATGTCCCCTTCAGGGCTATAACACACAGTACGAGCAGCATGTCCCAAATTCACTTTGTTTAACATCTTCTGTATAAGAAGCAAAACAGACACAGAAGACCAAGTTAAATGAAATACTAATAAATTTAGCCAATTTCCTCCCAAAATTCTCAACATAATTCTGAGTACTAGCAATTTAGGGTTTCCACTTCTTAGAAACTAACATTTTTTAAAAAGTTGTACCTACTTTATCAGCAATATCCCAGAGTCTCACTGTCCCATCCTCTGCAGCAGAAAGGAAAAAATCCCTGGAAGGATGTGTTGCTAGCCCCCAGATCGGTCCATCCACATGTCCGCTAACCAAAATATTACATGCTGCATTTTTCTCTCCAACTTCAATTATTTCAGCATTCCTTGTCCCAACTAGTATCTTGCCCTGAAACATAAAAGGGAATGATGTATGTAATGTACCACAACAGGTACATGCTTTGAGCTAATTTAGTCACAAGCCCATCATTAGCTCATGTGAATTTTTCTGTGTTAGGCACACATCAGCAAGACCCCTGGGCTGGGGTGCATAGTTGAGTCCATGTGATGAGAATCCACCTAGATTCTTACATAATCTGAGTTGTGACTTTGTGATAATCTAAGGATGTCCAAAAAGGGGTATAAGTACATTGAGATATAGGAAGATAGAACTGGAATTTTTAAAGAGCAAGTATAAATAAGCTTAGCTAATTTTTGAATAAGCAGAATGAGTTAATGCACATATATGATTTATAAATACACTTAATGAGTGCATACATGCTCCACAGTTTTTATAGGGATGTATGTTTTTACAAAGTGTATACAGCTGTCTAATCAAAATGAGTCAACTAGCAGGGATTTTCAATTCTGTCTACCACAGTTAGCAGATTTAAGAAAGGAAACCCTGTTTAGATTTAAGAAAGGCTTCCCATCTTATGCACTGCACTGGCATCAACTACGGAACTCAAAGTGGAGTGATAACTAGCAAGTGAACCCATCCTCATGTATTATTAAATATTGTCCATTAAATCACAATTTGAGAGAATCAGTAAAAACTGCTGTTTTCTGCTACACCATATCAGGTCAAGGAACATCTTACTTTGCCTCTGCACACGGAACGAACACAGTCTGTGGCTTGTCCTGTCTCAAGCCTGAAGGCCCGGCATCGTCTCAGTTCCTGATCCCACAGTTTAACTGCTCCTCCTTCTTTTGACCTAAGTAAATAAAACCAAACCCCAAAAGTATCTTAGTAACTATTATAGATAATTTTCATTATAACAAATACTAAATTTTAAGTAGAATACTAAAAAAGCCCTATATAATTTATTATAAATTTCTATGGCAATCTTAGGATTCAGCAAATTTTATTTTGTGAACTATTCGTTTTTCTCTGGCTTATCTTGTTTAGCTTCCACCATACATTTTCCTCTTCATGTTACTTAAGATGAGCGAAAAACCATTTTTAACATAGGAATTGAAACGTGAAGCAAGATAATAGGATTACAGATGATACACTATAGTCTTATTTACTTGGGGGCGCCTTACCATTGAGCTGCATCCCCAGTCTTTTGAGACAGGTTCTCATAAAATTGCTGATGGTCTCACTAAATTGCCAAGGCTGGCCTCAAATTTTTGAATCTCTTGCTTTAGCCTCCTGAGTTGCTAGGATTATAAGTGCACACCATCATGCCCTGCTATAGAGTTTATTTTTAAGGGCCAAAAAAGAAGCATGTTTTTTTCCTACCACTATCAAGACATCCTATAGTTCAAAGGCTACTAGTGAGAAGTGGTGTGCAAAATGGGGAGATGTGAGAAATACAAGTGTGTAGAGTTATTTGTAAAAGACAGTCCACTTTTAGATTTTCTCTTGGAATAACTGAACAATGTATTTCTTTGTTTTCTGTTGGATAAATTTGCTTGTCTTAGGAGAACATGTGCCTGCATGCCACAATACATTCATTCTTCAGGTGAAAAGGAAATTCTGTTCTTGTAACTGATGAATGTGGGTTCTTTCCATTCCTGTAGTGAAATGTGCTTGTGCGTCACATTCCAACATGTAGATATATCTGGTTACTGTTGGGAGATTTGAAAATCATTCAGAAACAGGTTTCTCCTTACATTTACATATATATTTTTAAATTTTTAGTTGTAGATGGACACAATACCTTTATGTTAATTATTTTTATGTGGTGCTGAGGATCAAACCCAGTGCCTCACACATGGAAGGCAAATAACATGCACGCACACAGTCCTGAGGAAACTCGGTTCTTTTTTTTTTTTTTTTTTTTTAATTTGTTTTTAGTTGTCAGTGGATCTTTTATTTATTTGTATGCGGTGCTGAGGATCGAGCCCAGGGCCTCACACATGCCAGGCAAGCGCTCTACCACTGAGCTACAACTCCAGCCCAAACTAAGTTCTTAATCTGTAAGAAAAATACCTATCTAGACCTAAGAAAAAGTATCTACCATTGGAGTTTAGGTTTATCTACAAGGGGGGAAAAAGCGATTTAAGATTAGGTAGGAGAATCCAGAGAAGGAACATAGAAGGCATTATAGTTGAAGCGTATGAGGAGGAAGGCCAGAGAAGATAACCCATAGCCTAGAAATAACAAGAATACCCAACTGTGAAAACCCTAGGTAGATGACAAATGCAAGTATTCAGTGAGGCTGTGAAAAGAAAGAGGACTCACGGCCTTTCTTTGCCACCAGTCACAATAAGTCCATCTCGCAGGGTGGTATACATGGCAAACACGGGCCCGTTGTGAGCTCTGGCCACAACTCTACACAATATGTGATCTTTCCACACACAGACATCACCACTGATGGTACCTGTAAACGTCAAGTTATTCTGAAAAGGAGTGGGGAAGGGGGAGATAAACTCATCAAAAGTGCAAAGAGAGTTCAAACAGATGTAATCTGTGAGTGTGATGCTACTTCATCTGTGATTCAGCATGTGCAAGGTATGGATGGAGAGATGGACCCAAGAGGCAGAACCTGAACTCCAGGCTCAGCTGCCTCATGGCTTTTCCTTTCCCAGTCTGTCACTTAGCTGGGGTAACCTTGGACAGTTCTCTCTTTCCAATTCTAAAATGCTGTAATTCTAGTTTATATTCTTTTGTTGGACTGCTTCCTTCCAACTGCTCAATAAATAAAGTTCTCAGATTTAAAAAAAAAAAAAAAAGGAACAGCAAATGAAGACTTTTTATTAGGTTCAGCAAAGCATTTTCCCCTAAAAAATAAAACTATTATCTGTACCAGTCATAGGGGGTTTTGAGAACTCTTTATTAAAGTTCTGATGATTTCACTCACTTTAGCAGTAGCACTAATTCCTGCCTGTCTGCAAGGAGAATGTAAGTTCTGTGGGCATGGAGATGATTTCCCTTTTCTTTTTATAGTTCCTAGCATAGACTCAACATTCTGCCAAATAAATATGTCCCACTTTTATGTTTTTATATGTTTTAACAATTTTAAAAATGCTTAAACTGAGCATAAACTTATTTTGTTATATTCTGATTATACTGTTGCTTCATACATTAAAACTCATTTATTCTTAATATTTAATCTTTGTTTATTTTTTATTGACTATGAGGAATTTTAAAAGTGAAGGAAGTTCATCTACATGGGCAAATGAAATGTCAGAAGCATGTAAATGTGTGGGTTTTCTTCTGGAAATAAACTACTGATCTAATGTTAAGAATGCCCAGAATGTTCAATTGGAGCTTGACATAGCATGACCAACATTTTCAGTGGCCTTTTCCCCCAAACATAAGTGTAGTTAATTGTTCTAAACTTATTTTTTCCTTCCTTCAAATAATTTCATACCTATATAAACACATAATAAGGAAATCTGCTTTGTTGTTGTTTTTATTTCACCAAAGGATTTTAGAAGCCTAGCCAGAGTAAGGTATTAAAGAAAAGACGGGGGATTATAAATTCACCCATGGGCCCATGTAGGACCTAGTGAGGAGAGAAGAGGGAAGGCTCTTGATCTCTCTTCTGTCAAACCAGAGACTGTGCTTTCTCCTTTTGTCTCTCTACTCCCTTCTTGGCCCAGGACACTTGCAACTATGTAAGATGAAAGAAAGCAAAGGAAATCCTAAACCTAGGTCCAAACTTAAATTACTTGAAAATCATGCTTCTTGATTAATTTTTCCTTTTTTAAAAAAACTTATTTTTAGTTGTAGTTGGACACAATACCTTTATTTTATTTATTTATTTTTATGTGGTGCTAAGGATTGAACCCAGGGCCTCACATGTGCTAGGCGAGCACACTGAGCCAAAACCCAACCCCTCATATTTCTTTTACTCTAACAAAAAAATTTTTTTTTTGTTTGCAGTACCAGGGACTGAATCAAAGGGCTTTACCTCTGAGCTACATCCGCAGCCTTTTTATTATTTATTTATTTATTTATTTATTTTAGTTTTTGGCGGACACAACATCTTTGTTTGTATGTGGTGCTGAGGATTGAACCTGGGCCCCACACATGCCAGGCGAGCGTGCTACCGCTTGAGCCACATCCCCAGCCCGCCTTTTTATTTTTTAAAATTTTAAGACTGTCTTATTAAGTTACCTAGACTGGCTGGCCTTGAATTTGTGATCCTCCTGCCTCAGCCTTTTGAGTAGTTGGGATTACAGGCATGTGCCATTGCACCTGGCTACTCTTAACAAATTTTTAGGTATGTGAAGAACTGTTAGGAAGACAGAAGTTTCAGGATATATATGGTGACAGTTACAAGACTAGTGAAAGCCTTGGAGAACAGCAAAAGCCTAAGGACTCAAATTTTCATCATAATCCTCCCTCAAGAGCTTTCTTTCCCACTCCCTCATTTCTGAAACTATCAGACTTTTGAAAAATGAAATACATGCCTGACTAGGACATCAACAGATTACCTGCCATATTAACATTGATGTGGCTTATTTCAGGCAAGAAAATTGGTAGTCAAAATTACACCCCTACACAACATTTTAAGAGACATACTGCACCAAATGCGACAGCGAGCATGGTCTGCATCCGGGCATCTTCCAGTGTGTTCAGCAGCCCTTTTTTGCTAAGAAGAGCCCTTCCTGCCAGGGTCCAGAATTTCACGTGTTTTACTCCCACAGAGACAAACTGGGTATCTGAATCTGGTCGGAATTCTGCTACAAAAATACGTTGGTTGTGCCCCACTCTGCTGGCAATCTTGGCACCTGATAAGAAGATACAACGAAATTATCCAAGTTAATATAAGAACCAAGCTAATCAACAGGCATGTTTGGGGGCTAGAGATGTAGTTCAGTGTTAGAGCTTATGGCTTATCAATCCTCAACGTAGGGGGGGGCACTGTTTTAGATACATTTTAAATTGTTATATAATTAAATATTTGTTAAAAATACATGGATTTTTAAAAAAACAAAATGCTTATAAAAGGGAGGGCTGTGGCCCTTGCTCTGTTACCAAGCAATCACATGACTATAATTACTTGGGTAGAAAGTCCTTTATAACTCCATAACTGAGTTATGTATTTACAGGGAGCTTCATTACCATTTAAGGGTCATAAAATGATTTTGGGAAACATTCTTTTCTTTTCCCTGTATGTTTGGTAATACTATCCTATTGGTCTTCCAATATCATTTAAAATATACTTCATGGGTCAGGAATGCAGCACCTGTCTAACTAGCACTGACAGCACTGCAAACACCCACAGGCGCACACACACACACACATTTTTATTCTTTATTAAGGTCCTCTAACACCAATTAATCACTAATAATTAGCAAAGATACATATATAGTTTCTTACTGAAAGGAACAGCAGTTAATAATTTTTAATAATAATTTCATTAATTTTATGTTTTGTGAACTTAGAATTTCACTGGACTTTTAAAGTGAAACCTACCTATAGGACCACGAACTGTGTGCATGTACTGGATAGAGCTATTGTGAATAATGGTTTCAATCACCAACTTAAGGCAAATATTAAATATATAATTCATATTCACACACATTATCCTACCTTCCTGCCATCTCCAAATGGTAATAGTATGTTCTGGGTCTAGTCCCACAGACAGCAAGAGTTTGCCAGTAGCACTGAAGCTGACCGAACACACTCCCTTTGAATGGTAGCATCTTAGTATAGATAGAGTCTGCTTGCTCACTGCATCCCAGATGTGGATAGAAGGGGCTGTGGCTAAACAAAGATGAAATCCAAAAGTTGGAACTGACTTGTTATAAATGTTTCCATTTCTAAAATATATAAACCCATCTCTGAAACATGGAAAAATGTACCCAAGAAGGAGTATACTTAACAAAGAATAGCTCAAACTAAGATTAAATTTTTGGAAAACAAAACAAAACCAGAATACTTCTTTAGGCTATATTTCCAATTGCACTTTTGAGAAAATAGCATTTATACAAAAATCAGTCCATCATAATATTAACTTATCAAAAAATAAGGCATGTTTGGGGGCTAGAGATGTAGTTCAGTGTTAGAGCTTATGGCTTATTCTCAACATCAGAGGGGGAAAAGCACTGTTTTAGACACATTTTTAATTGTTATATAATTATATAGAGAGCTATCTACATTTTTATACAATAAATATGTTAAATACAAATATATATTTAGCATCAATGTTACCTGGGAGAGAAATGAAAAGCAGACACAGTTGTGAAAAGCAATACTTAGAAAACCACCTGAACAAATCTCAAAAGAAAATTTTGACAATATAGATAGCTACATATTCCTTTATAAGAATTTTTTTAAAAACCCAGAAGTTTAGTGAAGGATAAAACTCATAATCTTTAAAAAAACAAAAAAACTTTAATCATCCTATGCAGTGCTGCTACTATTTAAAAAGTTGCTTCCGGTTCTGTTTTGTTTGTGTTTTTGTAGATTGGTTTTTACAGTGCGGAGGATTGAGCCTCACACATGCTAGGTAAGCACTCTACCATTAAATTACATTCCCAGCTTGTTTCTCTGTATTTTATAAATTAAAATACCATAGCTTTGTATAATTATTTTTCCTGAACTACACTCTATAGCTAATTCGGTCTTAGAATGAATGTACTTTGAGTAAAACAATTAAAAACTAAGTGCATTTTCTTCAAATTATACATGTTATGTGTACTGCAAAAAGAGAGAAATATTAAGACAAGTTGTATTAAATTATTTGATGCAGAAAGAAATTTTGGTATCTAAAAAACTGATAATATTTTTCACCATTTGCTATTTATAGAACACAATGGTACATTAAATCTGATAATTCAAGTAAAGCAGTTAAAATTTATTAAATCAGATATTTAAACTTAAGTATCATTAAGTAGAGAGGTTTATGTAACAGTAAAATATCAAAACTATAGAGAACTAGATATAAAAATGCCAATAATAAAATAGGTTGTTTGAAAATTTTATTATAATAATTTAAGTACTGGGCTAAAAATGTTCCACATTCACTAAAAGTCAAAGTTTACCTAGGGCATAGTTGAACTGAGTCTCAATAAGGCATGTTAGATGGCTTAAATCTAAAATATAGATATATATCATACATCACTATATACATGATAAATATTAAACAATTTAATGATAAATATTGCCAACGAGAAATATTAAACATTTTTATATATGCTTACAAAAAGTACCTCTGGGAAGATCACATACTATATCTGCCAAAATGTGATAGAATAGGCAACATATTTTCAAGATATATCAACTTTTTTGTTTCTAAACAAACCAAAATTTGCCAAGTTCCATATATCTAAAATTTAAACAGCAAATGATCTTAAGATGAATTACTGAGCTTCTCACACTTTTATATAAAAAAATTAAAGGTGATGGCAAAAAACTGATACCAGGAATCTAAAAGCCTACAGGTATTCTATGTTATGGAACTGCTGCACATTTAGACTGCTAAACCTACATCAACAGCAGTATTTAAAATTAAGATTACTATAAATTTTCAGGGCCCATGTTACTGAAGATGAAATTATGTTCATTGGGCATATTTTATTTTCTCTTATCATTTAAAAATGGTCATTCACAATCTTAGGTAACAGATCCAGCTTATTCCTCGCTTCCCAAAGGTCCTCAGGTACTGCACACCTGCCATGGCAGGCGGCATATCTCTTTCTGAACCCAGGGTGCTGTGCACCTGAGCACATGCTCTACCACGGGGCTCTCTCCAGCCCCTCATCTCATGCTTTCTACTCCTACCTTCCAACCAGGTATGTTTTCCTCTGAATTCTGCTCAGAGAAATTCAGTAACTTGCTTTGTTACACACAGGCAGAGCCAGCACAGGTGTGCTAACATCAGTATTCAGGTCCCATTCTTGCTCTTTCACCTCATCTGGCTGTCTTGGAAAAATAAATCTCAAATATATATATATATACACACACACACACACACACACACACATATATACATATATATATATACATATATACACATATGTATATATATATTTTAATTAGAGCTTTATGGTAATCTAAACTACTTTTTACAATTATTATTTTTTAAAAAATATTTATTTATTTTTTAGTTTTCAGTGGACACAACATCTTTATTTTATTTGTATGTGGTGCTGAGGATCGAACCCAGCGCCTCGCGCGTGTCAAGCGAGCGCGCTACCGCTTGAGCCACACCCCCAGCCCTACAATTATTTTTTGACTATTAATTTCCTGTACAGAGATACCCTAAGAATTTTTTTTTTTTTTTTTTTTTGCAGTGCCAGGGATTGAACCTAGGGACTTATGCATGCATGCAAGGCAAGCACTCTGGCAACTGAGATATATCCCCAGCTCCCCAAGGGTCCTTTTAAATTACTAGCTCGATCTCATACGAATGAAAATTTTAAAGAATATTCTTTCTCTACCTCCTAGTTTGCCTGTGATACAGTGTAATAAAAACTGTATTTTAAAACAAGGGCCCTTTAAGTGTACTGACTCCAAGTGACTCCAGGGAAGTGGCATGCTCCTCCCATAAGTCTGAACCCACTGTGGTAACAGCCCTCCCACCCCTACCTCTCTACCTCAGTGATTTACTTTAGTAACCCAGGTTAGGGCCTATCAGCACATGGTATCCTCATGGTTTCTTTCTTTTTTTTTTTTTTTTAATATTTGTTATTTTTTTAGTTTTTCGGCGGACACAACATCTTTGTTTGTATGTGGTGCTGAGGATCGAACCCGGGACGCACTCATGCCAGGCGAGCGTGCTACCTCTTGAGCCACATCCCCAGCCCCTCATGGTTTTTTTTTTTTAAGTACAAGGTTTGGTTTGTGTCCTAATGACTCGGTCAGAGTAATAGGAAGGATTTTTAGGTGATGGTTCTGAAAGGAGTTTTATTCCTCTTTCCCACTGGATGAAAGCAAGGAAGCATGTGACTTCAAATGCTGCTGCAGCCCTTGAGTGACCACGAATGCAACTGGCCTTATTGGTGAAGCCGATGCTATGCCTGGCAGAGTGGCAAAGAGGGAACATGCCTGGATCCTGGGTCCTGGAAGTGCTCCAGAAGCAGGAGACTCAGGAGACTACCCACCTTCCTCACTGTTCATGCTAATAAACATCCTTTTCTGTTGTAGAGGGCACCCAGAGACCCACAAAGCCATCTGATAGACACCCACCTACCACAACAAATACTAAGCAAAAGCAGAGGGAAAACTCTCCTGCCTAAAGGATCAAAGGTATCAAATTCTTAAGTTCCACATATAGTCATGGAGGACTGAAATAACTTTGTCAGAGATAAAAGTATTCCCTTAGTGTCCACTGAAAATACATCTAATGTCTTCAGGGTAATTCCACCATATCTTTTCTACTATAAGTGTTTACTGACCTACGTTCCAAAGTAACTATTTGAAAACTTCACTCCTCTTAAAACCAACCCCTGCTTCTCCCCTTCCTTCTCTCAGTTGATGACATAATCAGATAGGAGTTTCATTATTTTATCATCCCCAAATCTACCATTTTATATTTGTACCTAAACTGCCTTCATTCTTTATGTATATAGACAATTCTCCATGCCCAATGCATTTTCCCCCAAGTATTCGCCCATCTCATTTAGCTAACTGCTCAAGCAAAAAATTAGTATTTAGCCTCACTTTATCTTACCCCAAATCCAACTCATCAGAGAGGATTGCTGGCTTTACCTCTAAACTATGTCCCACGTCTGTCTAGTTTTTTCTACTTTCACTCCTGCCACCCTTGTTTGTCTTTGGCTTGGACTATAATAATAGGCTCCTAATTGTCTAATTTCCTCTTTCTCAACAAGCTAGTGGAGGTGACTTTCTCAAAGTACAAATTAGATCATTGTGTTATTTAAAATTTTCCAATGACAGACTAACCTTGACATGAATCCAGACTCCCTCTGGGAGCTGACCCCTCCCTCCCTCTCACTGTGGTTATCTCAGCAGCTTTCCTCCAGGCACACTCACTTTCTAGTTTCTTGACCCAGCCTTAGGTTTTACACAGGCTGGAGGCTGGTCATTAGAAGGCCCTGCCTGTGGGCTGGCTCTTGGAGTGTGTAAGAACTTGGCTTCTGAAGTGTTCCTTATGTTACACAACTGCTCTGTCTTGTTAGGGGCACTGACACCTGCTTTCTTCTGGGAGTCTGGTATTTTGGTACTTGTGGTTGCACTTCACGTCTATGTGCCCAACCCCAAATAAAAGCCCTGGACTCTGAGTCTTAAGTGGGCTTCCCTGGCAAAACACCTGTGTATGGCTAGATTAGCTGGTGGGGATAAAGCTGGCCTTATGGTCCCTGGGGGAGCCAGAAAGTCTGTGACTGGGTCCTCCAGACTCTGCCTTATTTGTCCTTTTCTCTTGCTGGCTATAAGTACAACCAACTCTGAGCACTGCAATTCCTTCCAGTGAATTCTGAATGTATGGTAATTCTTGAGACCCCCAAAACGAGCCTCAGCCTGGAGCTTTCATTCATGTCTTGGCTGTCAATTTTACATCATTCCTGGCATGGCTACTGGGATATTAAGCTTGTATTAATAACCTAAATTCATGAAACTGATAATAATTAAGTCAGACGGCAAATAAAACAACTGTTGACAATCACAAAAATTCACGTTCAGTAGCAGATGATAGAAATATTTTTCACAAACTGCCCGCTGAGAATAAAAAAGTTCCATACAAGCTTGGTAAATTTATCCAACTATCCCTTTTGCTGTTCCACACATATTTTTTATCATCAGTTGTGCTATGTCTCAGAACCACTTAAAGTTGTACTAAAATGTTTCCTTATCTTTTTCAAAAATAATTTTTTTTGTAGTTCCATGGAGGCTATTTATAGAGGCTAACTCTTCTGTCTCTTCAGAGTTGGCATCTTGACTATAAGATGCCAACTCTGAAGTACTTATAGCTAGTACTTATAGCATCTATCAAACCGTCAAGAGCTAAAGGAAACCACACAAAATAATTTGGTGGTAAAATACTGACATAGGGTTAGGGGATATAGTTCAGTGGAAGAGATTATGCTTAACAATGCACAAGGCCCTGGGTCTGGTCCCCAGCACCAGAAAAAAAGTGTTGATGCATACTGTATTATTATTATTATTATTATTTTGGTACCAGGGAACTAACCCAAAGACACTTAACCACTGCACCACATCCCAGCCATTTTTAAACTTTTTATTTTGAGACAGACCCTCACTAAGTTACTGAGGCTGGACTCAAACTTTCAACTATCCTGCATCAGCCTCCTGAGTTGCTGGGATTACAAGCATGCATCACCATATCTGGCTATGTAACATTCTTTTAGCACAACTATAGTGTCATTCCATAATAAACACAATTCTTTACCATCTCATTTGAGAACAACATAATCCACACTTCACTGTACCTTAAAAGTATAACATTCAAAATCCACTTTTCTTCCCTCACCCTTGTTTTGACATTATAGAGATGCACTGGTTAAAAAAGAAAGTAAACGTTGTAGTACAGATATATATGTATGTGTATATATATATGTGTGTGTGTGTGTATCTATCTTAAAACCTGTGAAGTTATAATTGTGTCACCATAACTTATAGTGTATAACTTATGAGATTGTCACAGTCTCTGCAGCCACTCAACTCTACCATTAACAGCACACAAACCACCACAGATACTCTGTAAGTGAGCATGGCTATGCCTAACAAAGCTTGGTTAACAAATACAGAAATCTGAATTTCATATAATTTTCATATGTCATAAAATAGCATTCTTTTAATTTTTCCCAACTACTTAAATTAATAAAACTGGGCTGTACAAAAGCAGGTGGTGGCCCAAATAAAGCCCATGAGCTATGGTTTGCCAACCCCTGCTCCCGGGTGAAACCAAGTAAGCAGTGACCTTGCCTGTTGATTTGAATAAATTAATAGTTGATTTGTCAAATCATAAAATCATACTCTGCCCTGATGGAGGGGAAAGAAACAGATATAAATCTTTTATCAAATTGCTAATTCATATTATATTACATAAATTTAAAATATAGTTGAAAAGGATTAGTTATTGTAATATCTAAAGAAAATAGCTACACATTGTTAATTTAATCATTATCTTTAATTCATAAAGCTAAGATCAATAATAGTTCTAAATCTTTAAATGATCTGTTGGTTTAATATATACAACTGAGATAGTATGTAAAAATCTGATTTTATTTTTGTAATTTTATTCAGAGTCAATACAATTTATTTATATTTAAGATTAAGTTTTGATCATTTTTTCCCCTTTCCTTTCCCTGCTTTTTTTTGTGCTAGGGAATATCTCCAAGCTCTCCCAACTCCACTTTTCCTAACCTTATAATGTTACCAAGTTAGTAACTACTATGAAGAATTCTTGTGATGATTAAATGAGGTAGTATAAGGAAAGTACTTAGATTAATTCCATGCATATGGAAAAAAGGTCAAAACATTCATTTTTTTAAAAAAATACTATTATTGCAGATTGAGCTCAGTATCATGTTATTAAACTAATGTATTCTTTATTACAAATAATTTACAAACTTTTTGTAGAGTAATAAGATGTTTGATGTAAGTAATAATAGTCACTCAGATATCTTATTTACTTTATAAAAATTTGGGTTACCATTACCAAACAATATAAATAAAACTGAAAATATTAAATTTTTCCTTACCTGACATATCTGCTGAATCACCTATAAAAGAAAGCAACAGAAAAGTTGTTACCAATAAATAACACAAATGCCTTAAAATCTGCAAGACCCATTATCATAAATATTTTTAAAATAACTTAATAAAATATATGCAATCAGTTGTATTACACTGAGTAAACAGAGAGAAGGCAACCATTTCAATTATATGCACATATTAACATTCTATGTATGACCTTTCAATCTTTCTTTGATAAAAACAATTTTCTTCATATTTAATGACTTACATGAAATTGTAATTATAACTTTAAGAATAATATTTATATGATTTAAATTGATAATACACTTATTTTGGGGTCATAAAATGCACCACTTAATGGGCCTTTTGGAATTTTAATGCATCTCTGCGTACAGGGAAGAATTTAATCTAAATCTTCTGAGGGACATGATAGCAAAGATTACAATATAACTCAAGAAAAAAATTCTTTTTTTTTTAAACTAAATATTTTCACTATGAGTTAAAGTTTGCCAAGAAAATATGAATACCTATCTATACTCATTATATTTGTGGTGAAAAACTTAAAAATTAACAGTCTTTAGGGCTGGGATTGTGGCTCAGTGGTAGAGTGCTTGCCTAGCACATGTGAGGCACTGGGTTCAATCCTCAGCACCACATAAAAGAATTAACAGTCTTTACCAAAGAAAAAAAGAGTAAAAATTTAAGAATTCCTTGAAGCTAGGTGATTGTTTTTTTTTTTTACATCAATTAGTAGAGGATCTACAAAAAGTAGAGGATCTACTTTGAGAACAGGCTCATGCAGGCTCAGAAGCAGATTCAGGACCACTTAGTAGATAATCCTGTGATTTCAAAGGTTTTTTTTTTTAGAGAAAAAGAGAAAGAGAAATTTTTTTAATATTTATTTTTTAGTTTTCGGCGGGCACAACATCTTTGTTTGTATGTGGTGCTGAGGATCGAACCTGGGCCGCACGAATGCCAGGCGAGCGCGTTACCGCTTGAACCACATCCCCAGCCCTAATTCTGTGATTTCAAATCCCCAAATGGAGAGGGAGGTTCCCCTATGGAAAGCAATCTCACTGTTCTCATATACACCTTGACCCATGAAATGTAGCTGGAAGATGTCCAGAGTGGACATTCTAAAAGAAGTACTAGAGAAGACTTTGTCAGAATAAGATAGTTTCCAAAACTGGAGGAAAAAGTTATAGGAAAAAGTGATTACATGTTCTAAGTACCCCCAAAATGAGGACCAATGAGTAGCAATTAGAGAGACATATTTCCATTCTTTGTGGAGAACTATTTTATAAATGAGCTTCCTAGGGAGAGGTTAGACTACCGTATTAGGCATAAAATAGTGATCGGTTCAAGTATATAATGGATAAAAAGATACATTTGGCCCTGAGATTTAAGATTCTAGTCAAGAAAATAAAAGTCTGAATGTAACTGGCTAATATACCACAAAGTAAATATTTAAATTTATTTATGATCCATATAATTTTTTTTAAAAAACCCAACAACTTAAATGGTGTTTTGTGCCTTGTGGGTATTAAATAAGCTTGGCAGCAAAGTGACTACCTATCAGTTCCCTTTAAAACATCCCTCTCCATACTTAGTCATCAGTGAAGCATTTTTTGTTAACCATTTTTATTAAAAATTACAAGTGAGACAAGGCACAGGGCTACGTGCATGATTTGAAATTCACCTCTGCACTGCAGAGTTTGACTTGGAAAGAGTGGGGAAGACCATGAGCCATTCCATGTTCCCTGTACTGTTGCCTTTCAAAATAAAGGGAAAGAAGTGGAGAAAGGGGCCAAAATTCTGAAAGATTAATGTGTGACTATGACAATTCTCAACTAAAAGAAACCTATGGCACTAATATGAGAAAAGTTGCTTAATAAAAGGAGAGCAGGAGAAAGAAAGGAAGAATGAGCAAACAAAGACCCATACCTTCTAGAATTCTATTCACAAAATGTAAATTACATTAAAACTGGGATTTTGTCTTTTTATAAGCTGCTAGAACAATACCTTGCACATGGTAGGTGCTTAATAAGTTTGTTGAATAAATAAATTTACTCAATAACAATTAACAGAGCAATAACTATGTACTAAGAGATATGAAGCCAGGTGTATGGTCTCTATTCCTTCAGGAGATAGGCCTTATTCCTTGTGCAGAGGAAAACAGACATCGCTTTCAAAGAACTTAGTGCAAATGGGAGTATACATATATATTCCTATACAAAGATTAGAATACTGGGTACTATAATAGTCTACTTTCCTTTAAAAGCAGAAAACTGTACAGAAGGAAAAAGAGCAGGGTCCCAGGGGGCATAGCAATAGAACCAGGAAACGCAGAGAACAAGTTTTTGACTAATCAATTCAGTACTTGCATGAAAAAATAAAATATTAAAAGCATAATTATTTAAGAAAAAGATAGCTAGAAAGCTAGCTTAGCAACCACAACCCCCTGAGGTCCAACCAACCCAACGATTTTAAGAACTTTACAAGCTATATGAAAGCTGTGAAAATATGACTGACCAAATCTATAATGTAGTATTCATAGTGATCAATGATTGGTAGATATGTCCAAATAGATCTGCTATCTTCAATCATTTTGCTTGTAAATCTATGGCCTTTAAATTTTTGACCAAGGTTAAAAAAATAAAAAAAATAAAAAGCAAGTAAACAATGATTCCAGCAACTCAGGAGGCTGAGGCACGAGGATTGCAAGTTCAAGACCAGCTTTGGCAACCTACTGAGACCCTATCTTGTAGAAAAAAAGGGGAGAGGGAGACTATGCATGTAGCTCAGTGGTAGAGAGCCCCTGGGTTTAATCCCTGGTACTGTAAAACAAACAACAACAACAACAACACTTGATGAACCAGATTAATACCAAAGAAAAGGAAAAGGCAGTGGGGATTTACAAACATGAAACAAATTTGTTTTATCATTTTTTTAAAAATATTTTTTTAGTTGTAGATGAACACAATATCTTTATTTTATTTATTTATTTTTGTGTGGTGCTGAGGATCACACTTGCTAGGCAAGTGCTCTACCACTGAGCCACAAGCCCAACCAGGTTCTCACTTTTTTTCTTTTGGTACCAGAGATTGAACCCAGAGGTGCTTAATTACTGAGCCACATCCCCAGCCCTTTTTATATTTTATTTAGAGACAGGGTCTTGCTGAGTTACTTAGGGCCACACTAAGTTGCTGAGGCTGGCTTTGAACTCGTGATCCTCCTGCCTCAGTCTCCTGAGCTGCTGGGATTACAGGCTGTGCCACCATGCCCAGCTGGGTTCTCACTACTTTCTAGGTTAACCCTTGCTGAAACAGAACTCTTCTCTCCTTAAAGTACTTCCTTTCTGCTTCATATGATACTGAATTAAATTTTTTTTTTTGCTAATCAGAAATTCCTGACAAAAAATTAAATCTGACTATTTAAACCACTATATGACAGTTGACTTTTTGAAAAAAATATTTATTTTTTAGTTGTAGTTGGATGCCATACCTTTATTTTATTTATTTTTATGTGGTGCTGAGGATCGAACCCAGGGCCTCGCACATGCTAGGCGAATGCTCTACCATTGAGCCACAATCCCAGCCCCTATATGACAGTTGATTTTAAATTCAAAATTGTCTGTACTAATGCAGATAACCAAAGTTAGTAAGAGAAGGTACCTAGAAGCAAACCATATGGTATAATTTTGTGTGTGTTTTATGTACACAGAGTTTTGAAGAATCTGTAATTATATTACACTTTAATTTTTCCTAGGATGTTGAATTTATTTGAACAAAAATGCTTCACATTGTTTCTTTTTAAAATATAGAAACATACCTACTTGGCCAGTTGCCACTATGTTGATAAATTTGGGGTGCTGATTTACAGTGAGGCACAGAATATCATCATTATGTTCCTGATAAAAACTTTGAATCCCTATAAAGAAAGAATTTGAGAATTAAGTCTGAAAACTTTTAAGATATAACAACCAAATGCATTTATCTAGCACTATAAACTAACTTATCTGCTTATTCAACACATAGTTTTTGAATACTTACTATACACATTATCAAAGGATAAAGAATCAGATGTTTTAAAAAGATAGAAATCTGAAAGGGATCAACCATATGATCTGAAGGATCAATTGTATGATCCAAGGCTGAAGATGCCAAATACCACCAAAGATTTAAGAATCAAAATGCCATGGGAATTTAGCACAGGAAGACTTATTCTCATTATGGGAATATGACACTTCTGCACTGATGCAGACAGATTCTGCAAATGTGAAGGAGGGTGGGGAAGGGCATTTTAGGTAGGTAGAGGAACCCTGAGGAAAGGCGCAAAGGCAGTGGTATGCATATATAATGACTCCTTTGGCTGTAGGGTCATGAGGAAGAAAAGTGAGCAATGCAGTTGGAAAGGGAAGTAGGGACTAGAATTATGAAAGATTTTCAAGGCTTATGATCTTTGTTTTGGTTTCCTAAAGAAAAAGATTCACCAGGGTCATACAAAAATCAGAGATAATTTTCCCTTTAGTAGTTTGGGCCATATTTATTAATATTTCATATTTATTCTGCAGTCAGTGGAGAGGCACTAAAGTTTTTTGATCAAAGAATTAATGTATCCCCCAAATAGAAGGGAGACCAATACAGTAGAGGAAAGGGATCAAGAGGGAGGGAGGATGGGAGAGTGTGGGGAAATCCTAGGGAATAAAATATACCAATTACGCTATGTCTATGTACAAGTATACCACAATGAATTCCATGCATATATAATTATAATGCACTCATTAAAATAATAATAGAAGGGAAGTCAGTAGAGTAGAGCAAGTAGATGGGGGAGGGAGGAGGGAAGGAAAAGAGAAGGTACTAGGGAATGAGATTAATCAAATTATGTTATGTGCATGCACATAACATACTAATTACCACCACTGTGTATAATTATAATGCACCAATTAAAAATAAAAATGAAATTCTCGTATGATAAAAATGGAAGTAATGTGATTCATCTAGCAGTATTGACAGTGAAGAGATTTCAGAAGACTATGAAAGTACTCTACACAGGAGGCAATAAAAAACTAGGTTTATACAAGTAAAATGATTAGGTAGGACATGAGGTCAGAACAGTAGGTTGAATCCACATTAGAGGACCCTGAATATCAGGATCTCAAACAGAGAAAACAAGACTAAAAACTCAATGATCACTTTTAACACACCTACTATTTCAAATTTTTCCTTGATATGAAATATGATTTTTACTTTCCAGGGCTGTGGGTTCAGTTAAAGAAACAAACAACTAATTATGAGCTGTTGGCTAAGTTGGTGGAATATCAGCTAATGAATCTATACTTCCTAGACTATGAGCACAGCAATGTAAACTGGTTGGAAGCCAAATACTAAGAACTGAAGCAGATACCTCATCTCCCCCTCCATCCTCTCTCAGCACTTCACCATTAGAAAGGTGATTAATTATAAATCAGAAAGCTAAAAACAAACCAAAAGTATAAACATGAAAGTTTATATATATATTTATTCCTTTCATGCTTGTCTCATTTTATTCTTTCCCATTCTCTTGAAGGATATGTGAAACCTCAATTAAAAAGGATTTTCTAAGTAGTACTTTTTTTTTTTTTAAATGGCTCAAATTATTAAATGAAAAATTGCATGTAGTTCTGGTGAATCCTTTTCTTTAGCAAACCAGAAAAGAAAGATCATATTAATGATTAATACTGACAAGGGGAGGAGGATAATGATGCACATAATTTACTCTTTATCCATTCAGAATGAAACTCTCAAAGGAAAACCCAAATGACTCATCAGGTAGACTCTGTTTTTGCTTTCAAATTTCATAAAGTTTGCGATCATATGTAATAAAACAGAATTAAAAATAAAAAACATCATTGGATCATATTTAATAAGATAACTCTATTTGCTCTTCAACAAGACTGTTAAATAAACATCAAGGAATATTTTCTCACATTCTTGGATCAAACAAGCAATAATCAGTAGACCCACAGACAAAAAAGCTTTCTTGCTTGGCTTTCTAAGGCCTCACTAATCACCCCTGTGGTCACTTATCCAATGTGCTACTTTCAATCGCTGTCAAAGACAACCATCCAAACCACCCATTCTCATGATGAGGTTATGGGAAAATAGAATTAGAGGCACAATGATTTCACTGTAAAATAGGATTCTAATGTACAGCGAACCTTTACTTTTAGTAGAGATCTATGAGAACTTGGCCTTATAAAATACTTTTCTGCTGTATCATACTCTATTAATACTAAAATATAACTAGATAGTGCCATAATATGAAATATTTTTTATTCTGGATCATTTTTCATATATTTCAATTATTATTTATAGGTTTAACAAAGAAATTTAAGCTCCTAGTTAAAAGATTTTAAATTAAAAGCAGAGTATATAAGGAGATAGAGAACTAAGGTTTCCTACCTGTAGCAACATTGTGCAGAATTCCAACTGATGCAGTGTGATAAATTATATCATCACCATCATTTAAATAATGTACATTATTCCTGCAGTCTCTGCCTCGATAACCAAATACAAGCTCCAACACGAGGTCCTATAACAATAATGAAACCATTATACAATTACTCTCTTCCTCATGTCTAAACGTTCACCAATATTCTGTGATGTACATAGCATTAGCATCTTCAGTCAAAATGGAAGACGTGTTTTTGATGTTTTACAGAGTTCAAATACAAAATTAAGCTAGATATATTTTCTCTAGCCTGTTTTGGGCAAATGAAACACATTTCACAGTCTATACTTTTTCTATATAAAGTTATAAAAAGGAAAAGGGAATCACAAGGTTATCCAATTCTAAGAATTTCAGATTTAAGATTCCATATGAAAGAATACTTCAATTTTTATGGTTAGTCAGAAAGAAGAATTTGATTTGTATTCATTGTTAGTTAATTATTTGCTCAGCATAGATAACTCAGGACAAATTATATCAAAGTCAGCTACTTTGAAGAATCCAAAGTTGTCTCTGACAACTCATGCTGAAAGTTCTGGCAGAGAAGGCTGCAGGGAGAAGCATTCCTGTTTTTCATTTCAATCCCTCTCCTATAGCTTTACACCTTGCTCAGGGCTCATTTAGCACAACTTGCTTATTTGCTGCTGATGTGGGATTATGAAAGGTCTGGGAGGACCTTTCTCTTTCCTCAGCTAGTGCTGAAGGTTTCTTTGATGGAAGGAGGGACAGAAGGAGGAACAGACTTCATGAATCCTGTATAGTGACTATATCACATGGGGTAAAGGTTCCTGGAGTGGTGTAAATATTTTATCTTCAACTTATGAATTCAGGACACTAAGTATAAGACACGACTTCTGTAAGTAATAGATTACTCACATGTATTTATGTTTGGATGTTCTCATTTAAAAATTAAGAGAAACAGAAATTTATTTACCAACAATCTCTGCTTGTTGGTAGCAGAGATTGAACGCAGGGATGTTCAACCACTGAGCCATATCCCCAGGCCTTTTTATTTTTTATTTTGAGACAGGGTCTCTCTAATTTGCTGAGGCTGGCCTTGAACTTATGACACTCCTGAGTAGCTGGGATTCTAGGCATGTGCCACTTCACTTGGCAAGTTAATCACTTCTTAAAATCAAACAAAATGATTATTCAATACACTTATTTTCATGAAAACTAATGATAAAGACTTGGGTGTTTTATAAAAAGAAACTTTGGATACATTTTAATAACATTAAGGAGTGGGTTTTCCTTACCTCTATGGGTCTTTTCTTCTTGCCAACATTATTTGTCTGAAGTTTCTCTGGCTGTGGAGGGGCCCTGCTCACTGGGGGCCTGAAACAGAGAGATGGAAGGAGGAAAGGCATAGATCACTTGGGGCTTTCACTGGGTCTCCACACCTGCCCTCCAGAGAGACTACAACTTGTCAAAAGGGAAGTGGGTCAGTGTTCTATTAGACTGCACTCTCTAGATCCTGATACCTTCTAATTCAGTAAGGGGGAAAGAAAATAATTAGAAATTTTATTCATTTTAATTTCTTGGTATATGTTTCATAATGTAAATAATATACTAACACAAGAGCAGTTCGTTTATAAACAAATGTAAAAATGTTAGCTTGATATACAAAAAACTTTCTTGATGGGTGCATTATCAACAAAGTCTAAAGTATTGCTCTGAAGCATCTAATACCTTCACATGACAGGTGCATAATATATATATATATATTTTTTTTTTCTTTTTATAGTACTAGGGGTTGAACTCAGAGGTGCTCTACCACTGAGTTACAGACCCAGCACCCACTGCCCACTTTTTTTTTCTTCTTGAGGAAGGATATCATTAGCATGCTGAGGCTAGCCTTGAATTTGCAATTCTCCTGCCTCAATCTCTTGAAATATATTTAGATATATATATGTATTCATTTATTTATATATTTGCCAGTGCTGGGGATTAAACCCAGGGCCTCATCCTCTACCACTGAGCTACATTCCCAGTCCTTTTTATTTATTTTTTTGAGATAAGGTACTCACTAAATTGCCTGGAATGGCCTCAAATTTGCAATCGTCCTGCCTTAGCCTCCCAATGAACTGTGATTACTGTGCCCAGCAAATTTAATTATGTTTCTATAATGTTATGTTTTTATATTGTTGGCAACATAAATCACATTTGAGTCTAAACTTGTACTCATTACTCCTCCTCCACGCCCTTCGCTTTCTCTGCTTCCCAAAGTCTTTACTTTTGGCTATTGCATTGTCATCACTTATTCAAGGAAGACTTTTTAGAGTCACAAAGCATTGCAAACCACATAACATTATGTAAAAGGCAATTACCAGGGTTGTGGTTCAGTGGCAGAGCGCTTGCCTAGCACATGTGAGGCACTGAGTTTGATCCTCAGCACCACATTAAAATAAACAAACAAAAGACTAAAAAAAAAGGCAATTACTATTACCACTGCTTCCAACTACTCCTCTTCTCTATTCACCAAACATTTATCAACATTCTCTACATAGTAGCTTTCAAATCTATCCCCCTGTAAAGCTCAGAATCTATTTATAATATCCTAGTACTAACAGGCATGTCAACTCTTTAATTTTCTATTTAGTCTATTATTGTTATCTCAAATGACCATTTTACAAATATTTATTTTTGATAACTAATGTTTTATTTTAAAATTTCAATTTTTATATAATGATATTTCCAATGAGGCTCCCTCCTGAAAAGCATGGCGGGGTGGGGGTGGGGGGGAAGAGTCCAATTCACACCTCATGGCCACAAGAGGGAGCTAACATTTGGTCCACTTGGTTTACTAAAGGCATCTTCTACCATGTATCCAGTGCTACAGAATAATTTGCATAACCATCTTCAAGTTGGTTCAATTATTCAAATAAATTTAATAAGCTGAATACTGCATCTAAATCAATCATGCATCAAACCCTCTCCAAATTTTAATATTCAATTTGTAGCTGAACATGATGGCCAATGCCTAAAATCCCAGTTACTTGGAAGGCTGAGGCAGGAGGATAGCAAGTTTAAGGCCATCCTGGGCAACTTAGCAAAACCCTATCTCAAAACATAAAAAGGGCTGGGATGTAGCTCAGAGTGCTCTTGCCTGGCACACATAAATTCAATTCCCAGTACATCAAATTAAAAAAAAAATCAAATTGTTAACAACCAAATCAGAAAATAATACAAATTAACTTTCTTATGGAAAAAAATTCCAAAATTTGTAAATAAGTCTCCTAAAATAAAATATTTTCAAATATATTTGCATTTCAAAATTGTCAAGTTATACAATTAAAAAAGAAAGTGAAGTGTTATATTTTACACATAATATAAAACAAATGGAGATTTTCATATGTAAAGTGAAACAGCATGCAGAATATATAAGATAACTAATTGGTATCATAAAAAGTAAATGCCCTTATAAGGAATATATAAACAACTTTACAAGTTATCACAGAAATTTTGGTTTCAAACCTTCATAAAATAAAATATTTAAAACTACTTCTATTAGGATCTAGTAGATAGGAACTTTGGTTTTTTCTTCTAAGTCAATTCTGTTGGTGAACTTTATTCAATGTTAGTATGACAGCTTTAGTTGTTAATTCAAACAATAAACAGATAATTCATCTATGCAACCCTTCAGAACAATTAAGCATATTTTAATGCTTATTACATTAGCATGTAATACTGTAAACCACTTGTAAAATTATACGAGTTGAATGGATCAAGTTTTAGTAGTTACTGATATAGTGTAAATCCAATAATTAAGATTCTAAGCTGGGTGTGGTGGTGCATGCCTGTAATCCCAGTAGCTTAGGAGGCCGAGGCAGGAAGATTGAGAGTTCAAAGCCAGCCTCATTAAAGTGAGGTGCTAAGCAACTCAGTGAGACCCTGTCTCTAAATAAAATACAATAGGGCTGGGGATATGGCTCAGTGGTAGAGTGCCCCCAAGTTCAGTCCCTGTACTTGCTCTGCCCCTCAAAAGATTCTATTAATTTCAGGGATATTAGTTCCAAAGGGGAAAAAATGTGGAAAACTATGAATAGAGGTAAAGAACACCAAGAACTTGAGCTCATTAATGCTACATATAAAAGATGATAAAAACAAAAAATCAGGCCTTGTGAGCATGACAAAGAGAAGATTACCTGGAACCTCTTTTCAGCAGCAGATTAAAAAAAAAGGAAAAAGATTACAACACAAATTTGAGTTTAAAACACTCATAAAATACCTAAAGTAGTAAAGTTTTTAAAATCAATTTAATGAAGATAAACTCTTCTGATTATATGAAAGGCCTGTTGCTTCAATTTTATTACTGCATAATAAGATTCAGTTATGACATTAATGGCAGGGAAATCAGAAGAAAGGTGAAAAAGTAGAATGCAACATGTTCTATGTTATAAACTTTAAAGCTTGCCATTCTTATTTTTTAAAAAATATCCTTATTTTGTTTATTTATTTTTATGTGGCGCTGAGGATCAAACCCAGTGCCTCACATGTTTGAGGCAAGAGCTTTACCACTGAGACACAACCCCCAGCTCTCTTATTTTTTTTTTCTTATTCAGATTGTATAATATGACTTTCAAACAAAACATTTAAGCTTATTTTTGTTCTTAAAATGGGAAATAAAGGGCTGGGATGGTGGCTCAGTGGTAGAGTGCTTGCCTAGAAGCACGCACAAGGCCCTGGGTTTGGTCCTCAGCACGACATAAAAGGGTAAATACATAAAATAAAGACATTGTATCCAACTACTACTAAAAAATAAATATAAAAAAATGGGAATAAAATCTTAACCAACTTAAAGGGCTGGTAGCACTGGAACTTCTTTGAAAGAAACTGCCTGAGGAGCCCCTTATTTTGAGCTAAGAGATTTCCCCAGTCAGCAAATTCACACAAAAAGAATGAATAACTCAGGACCACGCTGGATTTGGGATTTTTCTAGTAAATATTTTTTTAAACTTCCCTTAATAGTGTAATAACTGTAACAGAATTGGAAGTCATTTCATCCACCCTCTCTCTGAAATCAGGAGTCTTCTTTACACATTTAGAACATGGCTTTATAAGCACTCATGACAAATGGTCAACTAAAGTGCATGAATCCTGCTTGTGACAGGGTGTAAGACAGCAATTATATCTCTACTTAATTTCTTGTTTTGAAATAAGTGATCCGCAGATTATTCTTCATATTTAGTGGCCTCCCAACTTTCTTTCATCATGTGTTTTCTACTACACCACTGTCAACTCTCAGTATCCCCTTCAATGCAGAGATTGATACTGATGAAGCTAGGGTATGTATGAGGCTAGATCTGTATACTTCATTGCTGTCAAAATAATATAAGACTATGTGGGCCTCCTTAAAGGGTGTATCATACTCTGAACTCATCTTTGCACATTACCTTGCTTAAAACACAGAATTTCACAGATAATTAATTCATGCCATCAAATATTCAGGAGTGCCTACTATTTGTGAGTATGTATAATCTGATCTCAAATCTACTGTTTTCATCCTTATCTCCCAACATTTTTCTAGTGTTAATTTTTTTACTTCTAAAATTTGACTATTAATTTCTATAATGTCCCATTTCAGAAGCTCTCTGAGGACATTTTCATCTCACTGAAGGTAGCTATAAAAGCACCCCCTGAGTCTGTCTTATTCAGGCCATTTTATTAAATATACAAATATACTATATTAGCCTATTTTAAAGGGTAAATGTTTATTAAATGAAGATAACAGATTTATAAACTGAATAATCTCTCACTGATAAATATGTATAGCTGTTTTTTTATGAGCCTCTGAAAGTTAAGGAAAATGTAAAGTTATATAGAACATTATTGTAAAACTAAATAATCACAATGAAGACCTTCATAATACCAACCATTTACTGTATCTAAAAATATAACTCCCTTGTTGGATTTGTCCTATTTCATTTTTTAATTGTTTATTGACAAATATAGTTAATTAGTTCATAGGGAAAAAACTATAAAGATCAAAATAGAATGAAGAGTAAATATTTGAGTGAAAACTGTTCTTTCATAAAACACTTACCTTACTATACCCTGCCTTTGAAAGGAATTAAAGGAAAAAAGAAGGGAAACACATGAAAATTATAAGGAATAATTATAGCAGTTTAGTAAATATAGTAAAAGTAACATATCAATAGAAACATAAGGAAATACAAAAATGCCTAAGTTTTATGTCACATTATTTTGAATGTTTTTATTAAAAATATTGGGAATTTGACCAAAATGAATTACTTTAGATAGATAAGATTTGCTACAAAAACATTTAATAAAAGAAAAAAAAACCAAAATTATTAAAATTACTTAGAGAAAAAAAATCTACAGAAATATCAACCAGAGAAGTTATTAGTTGTCATCAAAACAATTTCCATTAAAGAAGATAAGGTATTTGATATGTGTTTGTTTTAATCATTTAAAAATGTTTTGTTTCACATTTGATGACAATAATAGATTTTATTTAAAGTACTGAAAATTATTTACATAGACTGTATTATCTCCTTAGTAATATATTAAAAAATGGCCCAAAGAAATATGTCTTACTTTTTATCCCCTTTGATTCTATCATTTTGTAAGAACAACTTCTCTTGTGATTACATTAATGATCTCTGTCTCATCATTTTTATGAGAATTTAGCAGAACTGACTTTGTAAAAAAAATTGAGAACAAAATGTGAAACAATTTCAAAAAGTAATCTGTAAAAAATTTAACTTCAAAAATCTTTGCTGATTACAGTTACAACAGTGTTACTCATTCTTCAGGAACAGGAAAATAATTTCCACCAGTCAGAATGTGGTCATTTCAGCACTGAGGAAGGAAATTTAAATTGAAGTGTTTTACCAGGAATGATGGCATACAGATTCAAATTAGGTCACATACCAAACTTCTCTAATAATTTTTTTCTTTTAAAAAAATCAACAGAACATATGGAAGAGATTTATGAGAATGTCTACAGTTCTTCCTCCCTATAAAACACTTCTCACTTCTCATTACTTGGGATGTTTGGTTTTCATTAAGTAATAGTAGTAAGCATTATTCTGCAATATTCTACTTAATAACATTCACATTTACATATTTATATGTATTCCTCTAATTAATAAAGAAATACATAGTGCTCATTACTTTGTGAATATTTAATTAAAAAACAAAGAAAAACAGTGTTTCAGTATTTAACTATCTCCTCAGGTTACTCTGTATTTCATTCCAAGGTGAGGATGCCATTGGTGAAGACCTACTATCTTAATTATTGATGTATATTATTTCATATCAACCTTGAAATAATCCATAAATGAGGAATTATAGTGCTCATTTTGCCACTTAGGAAACTGAGGTTCAGAAAGAATGAAGACTTTTCAAGGTTATACAACTGGTAAATGATAAAAATGAGTATGTTAGCCCAATTATCTGGCTCCAAAATCCATGTCCTTTGCATTGTGTGATGCTCTTTCTACCCAGCTGCTTCTATCTAGAATTTTATACAAGTATTTAGATTTTGTCATGATAACATTCCTACACATTCTTTTATACTTTGCCTCTTTATGCATAACAAAATGATTACTCTCTACCTTTTCCTGACCTCCCCGTACAGTTATCTGAGGTATCCTACAGCAAACTGAGTACCTTGAATAGGAGCTTAGAAGGTGTTATAGCCTCAACATTGCACCTAGACTTCCTGGGATGCTGGGATTAGTCAGCTCATCAAAATCTCTAGTTGTCCTCTCCCCCATCATTAAGGTACATCACATGCCTTTTACTTTATCCCTTTCCCTGAATATTAAATTCATAGGTTTCATTTTTAGTTTTTCCCTCAAATACTCTTACTAGTTTCTTATAATAATATTTTCCTTGTCACAGCTTTCTTCAGAAGTCACTGATGTTCTCAGCTTTCACTCCTTCATTTCTCACTTCTGTTTCTGATAATCTATTCCTTTATCATTTCTTAAAACCTCTCCACTTTTGAAGTCCATGCCATATTGCCTTTTGTGTGTGTGTGTGTGTGTGTGTGGGCGTTCCTGGGGATGGAACCCAGGGCCTCATATGCGCTAGACAAGTGGGTTACGTTCCCAGCCCTCATATGTCTCTTTACTGCTTTCCATCTTTGATTTAAAAACCATTAGGTTCACAGTTTCTCTCATCTAGCTCATCTAGCTCAGAGACATTATTTAAAAGTTATTTTCCAATAAAACTTCTGTGTATATATCCTTATTTTTAATTTACTGATTCTAAACCAAGATCAATAATTCCCTTTAAAAACAAGCTATACTTCAACCTGCCATTTTTTGAAAAATTTTTGAAATGTTGTCAACCCTCAATTAAGGGCATGTTGATAGATGGGCCATTTAAAAAAAGGCCATGTCTCTGCACACATGCTTCCTACAAGGTTCTGGGCACTGGATTCAATTTTATTATCTTCCCCAATGTCATCAAATATATTTAACACACTTGGCAAGTAAAAGGTTACTTTAATCATATAAACTTTCTACATATATGGCAACATTCTCCAAACTACTTGAAAAGACACTGTTACCACCATAAAGTATTTAAGGGGGCTGGGGTTGTGGCTCAGTGGCAGAGTGCTTGCCTAGCATGTGTGAGACAATGGGTTTGATTCTCAGCACCACATATCAATAAATAAAATAAAGGTCCATTGACAACTAAAAAATATTTTTAAAAAAGTATTTAAGGACAAACATTTTGTAAGAGTTCTGGCAACCAAATAAAGCAAGAATATCACTGATATTTAATATTTGTAGGAAACACATTTAGTTAAATAACGAATTTAATTTTAATACAAGTATCTTTTCTTTCATTTAATTTTAAACTTTATTGTTACCTCTCATCAGCTGAAGGTTCTTTCTGTTGCAAATGAGGCTTGGTTCCAAACATTGGGCGAATATTTGTTGATAAGGCTCTGACGGTATAAGTAATTTCATTCTCCCTTGTAACATCACTATCATAGCCTACCATCAAAATATAAAGTTATTCTTTAAGTGATAACTGAGATCAATTGTGATCTTGTAATTTAGATATAATGATGTCCAATGTCAAGTAAATTGTGCCATAATCAAATTATGGAATATGCATCCAGCAAAAATTAAGTAGTAAAATATTTTATATATAAATATATTTTTTAGTGCTGGGGATCAAACCCAGGGCCTCATGCAAGCTAGGCATAGCATTCTACCACTTAGCCATATCCCCAGCCACATAATGATGTTTTTTAAGTATCACTAAGAGATAACAGCAAGCTATAGGCCATGTGCAATGATGCATACCTATAATCCCAGCAACATGGGAGGCTGAGGCAGGAGGATCACAAATTTGAGGCTAGACTCTATAACTTATCAAGATCCTTAGTAATTCATCAGAGTCTGTCTCAAAATAATAAATAAAGCTGGGTGCAGTGGCACACACCTGTAAATCCAGCTGCTGGGGAGGCTGAGGCAGCAGGATTCCAAATTCAAAGCCAGCCTCAGCAACTTATTGAGGTTCTAAGAAACTTAGTTCCACCCTATTTCTAAATAAAATTAAAAAAAGGTCTGGGGATGTCTCAGTGGTTAAGAGCCCCTGAGTTCAATCCCTGGTATAAAAAAAAAAAAAAAACCAAAATAATCAATAAAAATGGTTGGGGATGTAGGTTAATGTTAAAGTGAAGTGCCCTTGGGTTCAATCCCCAGTACCAAAAAGGAAAAAAAAAAAAAAAGCTACAAGTTCATGTTAAAAAAATTATGTATACAAATGCACATATACCTTAGGATAAACCCCAAATGTTTACAGAGATTAACTTTGAGTGGTTGAATTATAAAGTCTGTGTTTATTCTTTATTGCAAAATATATTTTATATAATGAGCTAGTATTATTAGTACATTAAGAAAATGTTTTAAAATATAAAGTTCAAATATATAAAATTCATTTTAATAGTATTTATTTAAAGTATGGTTGTCTTACATTTGTAGATGAAGAATAGCTAAGTATTAATACTTGCCAGTCTGCTATTCTTGAATTATAAAGCCAATTTTTGTATAAAACTAACCAAAAACACCAATACCACAATTATTTTTTAAATATTCATTTTTTAGTTTTTAGGTGGACACAATATCTTTATTTTATTTTTGTGTGGTGCTGAGAATTGAACCCAGTGCCTCACGCATGCTAGGCGAGCGTGCTACCATTTGAGCCACATCCCCAGCCCCAATACCACAGTTATTAAAGTATTATTATTACTTTAAATTCTATAGTTTAAATCAGTGCTGTATTTTTTATATGTTTCTGTTAAAATGTTTTAAATGACATACCTCCACCTTCTTCGGAATCTACATCAGATTCCTCACTATCACAAGGCCTTCTTTCTCGATAACTTTCCATCTCATTTGTCCATACCATTAAAGACATATCTGCACCTCCTAGGGTCACCAACATGCTGTCATCATAAGTCCAGCGAACATTTGTGACATGTGTGCTATGGGCCACATACCTCTTAAATTTTCCAAATTTTCCCTAGAGATAATAAAAATGCAAACTTTTTCTGAGAAGTTTCATTATTTGAAAAATTGTAATTATATTTCTGAACTAATTATATTTTTAGTTATATTTAATTTTCCTTAATATATGTTTTGAAATCAGTCATTCCAAATGCAACATAAATAAAAACACAAGAAAATATTGAAATACCCTAGAATAAAAAAATAACAAGTGTGCTAAAGAGAAAATGTTTTAACCAATTAAATACTTTAATATTTAACCAATTAAATAAGAGTAACAATTCCCAAACCTGGTGAGGACAGGATGAAACTAGTAGTTTCACACATTGCTAGTACAATTAACTTTTTTGGAAACCAATGTGGTATACCGCATTAAAAGCATTAAAAAAATACATACATATATTTGGCACTGCTGAGAATCAAACCCAGGGCTTGCACATGCTAGCCAAGTACTCTATCACTAAGATAAATACACAGATCCTGTATGTACTTTTGTCTCACCAATCTGCCTTTTGGATATCTATGCTAAGAACATGCTACGTATGTGAAAAATACTTATCATATTATTTACTTATAGCAGTAAAATTTAAATACCTCAACTGTTCAATGGAGTAACAATATAGTTAATACAGTATATTATATGGAGAAATATATGTATTAAAAATAATTGTTATGTAGATTTATTAGCATTGGGGTGAAGAAGGAAGGAATCTGTAGACCAGTATCCTAAACTTATTCCTAAAGGATCTACATCATTTGGAATGCTGGAATGAAGTTTCTGACTGATAACTGTCTTAATAGAATGTTCTTAATCTACTAAGGTTCTAGCTCATATATGTATCTAAAGTAGGCTCTATGTAGTGTTTTTGAATATCTGAGTTTCCCTGGAGGTTTTTATTTTTAAAATATTTTTAGTTGTAAATGAACACAATATCTTCATTTATTTATTTCTATGTGGTGCCTCACGCATGCTGGCTCTACCATTAAGCCAGAACCTCAGCCCTCCAATGAGTTTTAAGCCTGTGTCTTCATTTCAGTGCTGATCTACAAAAAATAATATGGGTGTTATGAACAGAGTATCATAATGAATTGAGTTTCTCTAATATCTCGATGATGAATGTTTTTTCATGTATTTGTTGACTGATTGTACATCATCTTCTGAGAAGTGTCTGTTCATGTCCTTGGCCCATTTATTGATTGGGTTATTTGTTTTTTTTGGTGTTTAACTTTTTGAATTCTTTATATATCCTAGAGATTAGTGCTCTATCTGATGTGTGAGCGGTAAAGATTTGCTCCCAAGATATAAGCTGTCTATTCACCTCACAGATTGTTTCTTTTGCTGAGAAGAAACTTTTTAGTTTGAGTCCATCCCATTTATTGCTTCTTCATTTTAATTTTTGCTCTATAGGAGTCTTATTAAGGAAGTTGGGGCCTAATCCCACATGATGGAGATTAGGGCCTACTTTTTCTTCTATTAGACGCAGGGTCCCTGGTTTTATTCCTAAGTCCTTGATCCATTTTGAGTTGAGTTTTATGCATGGTGAGAGATAGGGGTTTAATTTCATTTTGTTGCATATGGATTTCCAGTTTTCCCAGCACCATCTGTTGAAAAGGCTATCTTTTCTCCAATGCATGTTCTTGGCACCTTTGTCTAATATAAATTAATGTAATTTTGAGGGTTACTCTCTGTGTCCTCTATTCTGTACCATTGGTCTACCAGTCTGTTTTGGTGCCAATACCATGTCATTTTTGTTACTATTGCTCTGTAGTATAGGTTAAGGTCTGGTATAGTGAGGCCACCTGCTTCATTCTTCCTGCTAATGATTGCTTTAGCTATTCTGGGTCTCTTATTTTTCCAGATGAATTTCATGATTGCTTTTTCTATTTCTATGAGGAATGTCATTGAGATTTTGATCAGAATTGCATTAAAACTGTATAGTGCTTTTGGAAGTATGGTCATTTTAATAATATTAATTCTGCCTCTCCAAGAGCAAGGTAGATCTTTCCATCTCCTAAGGTCTTCTTTGACTTCTTTCTTTAGGGTTCTGGAATTTTCATTATATAGATCTTTCACCTCTTTCGTTAAGTTGATTCCTAAGTATTTTATTTTTATTTTTTTTGAGGCTATTGAAAATGGGATGGTTTTCCTTGTTTCCATTTCTGTGGATTTATCACTGGTATACAGAAATGCCTTTGATTTATGGGTGTTGATTTTATATCCTGCTATTTTGCTGAATTCATTTACCAGTTCTAGAAGTTTTCTGGTGGAACTTTTAGGGTATTCTAGGTATAGAATCATATCATCAGCAAATAGTGCTAATTCGAGTTCTTCTTTTCCTATGTGTAGCCCTTTAATTTCTTTCGTGTGTCTAATTGCTCTGGCCAGTGTTTCAAGAATTATGTTAAGGGCTGGGGATGTGGCTCAAGCGGTAGCGCACTTGCCCGGCATATGCGGGCGCTGGGTTCAATCCTCAGCACCACATAAAAATAAAAAAATAAAGATGTTGTGTCCACCGAAAACTAAAAAAAAAAATAAAAAATTCTCTCTCTCTCTCTTACAAAAATAATTATGTTAAATAGAAGTGATAAAAGAGGGCATCCCTGTCTTGTTCTAGTTTTTAGAGGGAATGTCTTCAATTTTTCTCCATTTAGAATGATGTTGGCCTGGGGCTTAGCATAGATCACTCCAGTCAGAATAGCAGCTATTATGAAGACAAACAACAATAAGCGTTGGCGAGGATATGGAGAAAAGGGTACACTCATACATAGCTGTTGGGACTGCAAATTGATGCAGCCAATATGGAAAGCAGTATGGAGATTTCTTGGAATATTGGGAATGGTACCACCATTTGACCCAGCTATCCATACTCTCCTCGGTCTATACTCAAAGGTCTTAAAAACAGCATACAGCAGGGACACAGCCACATCAATGTTTGTAGCAGCACAATTCACAACAGCTCAACTATGGAACCAAACTAAGTGCCCTTCAATAGATGGATTTAAAAAATGTGGCATATATACACAATGGAATATTACTCAGCAATAAAAGAGAATAAGATCATGGCATTTGCAGGTAAATGGATGGAGTCGGGAAGTTAATGAATGCTAAGTGAATTTAGCCAATCCCAAATAACCAAATGCTGAATGTTTTCTTTGATATAAGGAGGCTGATTCATAGTGGAATAGGGAGAGGGAGCATGGAAGCAACAGACGAACTCTAGATAGGGCAGAAGGGTTGGAGGGGTAGGGAGGGGGCATGGGGTTAGAAACGATGGTGATGATCATTATTATCCAAAGTACATGTATGAAGAAATGAATTGGTGTGAATATACTTTGTATACAACCATAGATATGAAAAAATGTGGTATATATTATGTGATAAGAATTGTAATGCATTCTGCTGTTATATATAAATAAAAAATAATAATAAAATTTTAAAAATGAACTGAATATCAAAATGATTTGATGCATTATTTCAAATTTATGTTTATGTTCTTGTTGGTGCTAGATTATAATATATAACTTAATTTATGTGAATTAAGAAATAAATACATCTGAAGTGGGCATGGTAGTGCATACTTGTAATCCCAGCTCCTCAGGAGGCTGAAGTAGAAAGCCCAGCCTGGGCAATTTAACAAGACTCATTTCAAAATGAAAAATAAAAAGGGCTGGGGATGTAGCTCAGTGGGGTAGAGTGCGCTGGGTTCAATGACCAGTAGAAAGAAGGGAGGGAGGAAGCAATAGAGGGAGGGAGAAAGAGAAGGTAAGCAGGCAGGCGTTTATTGGCTTTGGTACATAAATTTTACTTTTGTGCTAAACAGAAGCCTAACATTTTGCAGTAGTTTGAATATGGGAAAGTGAAATAAGAATTGAGCAATCACATAACATAACATAGACACAGAGAGCTCCAAAGAATCTGTATAGTTTGGTTTCAATAAAACATCATTAATCACATTAAATCACTGTTGTTTATTTTAATTTTATGGGGGTATTTAGTATTTAGTATTTGGTTAAAACATTGTCTCTTTAAAAGCCATACATATAGTTTATATTATTCTCTTTTTTAAAATTTCTTTTTTAGTTATTGATGGACCTTTTGTTTATTTATTTATAAATAATGAAAATAGTTAAATAGCTTAATTTAATATTGGGAATAAAAGGAATGAGTTTTTAAAAAGGAAATTTACATTATTCAATACTAAAAAAATCTGTAAAATATAATATATAACTTTAGGCACAGAATCATAGATTATAATACTTATTCTAGATAAAAATAATATGGTTCCAAGAATAGGAAACATAATTCTGAACCTTTTGTGGTATAACATTACATTTTACACATGTATTATTCCTATTACAATAGGATGAAATACTATGAAGGAACATTATCTTAATCGTTTTCATAATTATGATCATTAGGAAAGTTAAAGAAAAATACATACTTTAGCAGGATATTTAAATAACTTCACGAATCCCAAATCATCGCCTGTAGCTAGGACCATTCTGTCACTGGTGAGGCAAGAGGCAGTTACATCTGTGACTTCTCCAATTACTGGCCAAATTCCCTCACAGCATAGACCAAGCACACTTGTCCATGATGCCCAACTAATTTTTTCTACCTAAAAAGAGAAAATTACTGTGTAATATCTAAATTGACAACCAAAATCTGAACATTCATCTTTGTTATTACATGTCACAAGTGAAATTAAATATTAATAGAAAAACAAATCATTAGTTGGCATGGTTTTATAGATTCTCACAGTCTACTAGTTCTTGCAGAAAAAATTTAATATAATATTATTCAGGAAGTCCTTATTATATATTTAGTATGTGTTCTTTTTTAAAAAACATTTATTTTTAAGTTTTAGGTGGATACAATATCTGTATTTTACATTTATGTGGTACTGAGGTTCAAAACCAGTGCCCCAGTGGTAGGCGAGCACTCTACCACTGAGCCACAACTCCAGCCCCATATATGTTCTTGATTGGGCTTTTTTTTTTTTTCTCCTCTTTTATTCCCCACCCCTATCCCTTGTTCAGAAGACTCCATGGACTCTTTTTTTTTTTTAATTGGTTGTTCAAAACATTACAAAGCTCTTGACATATCATATTTCATACATTTGATTCAAGTGGGTTTTGAACTCCCAATTTTACCCCAAATACAGATTGCAGAATCACGTCGGTTACACATCTGCATTTTTACATAATGCCCTATTAGTAACTGTTGTATTCTGCTACCTTTCCTATCCTCTACTATCTCCCCTCCCCTCCCCTCCCATCTTCTCTCTCTCTACCCCATCTACTGTAATTCATTTCTCTCCTTGTTTATTTTCCCATTCCCCTCACAACCTCTTATATGTAATTTTGTATAACAATGAGGATCTCCCTCCATTACCATGCAATTTCCCTTTTCTCTCCCTTTGCCTCCCACCTCATGTCTCTGTTTAATGTTAATCTTTTCTTCCCGCTCTTCCTCCCTGCTTTGTTCTTAGTTGCTCTCATTATATCAAAGAAGACATTTGGTATTTGTTTTTTAGGGATTGGCTAGCTTCACTAAGCATAATCTGCTCTAGTGCCATCCATTTCCTTGCAAATTCCATGATTTTGTCATTTTTTAGTGCTGTATAATACTCCATTGTGTATAAATGCCACATTTTTTTTTATCCATTCATATATTGAAGGGCATCTGGGTTGGTTCCACAGTCTAGCGATTGTGAATTGTGCTGCTATGAACATCGATGTAGCAGTATCCCTGTAGTACGCTCTTTTAAGGGAATAGTCCGAGAAGGGCAATAGCTGGGTCAAATGGTGGTTCCATTCCCAGCTTTCCCAGGAATCTCCATACTGCTTTCCAAATTGGCCGCACCAGTTTGCAGTCCCACCAGCAATGTACAAGAGTACCCTTTTCCCCACATCCTCTCCAGCACTTCTTGTTGTTTGGCTTCATAATGGCTGCAAATCTAACTGGAGTGAGATGGTATCTTAGGGTGGTTTTGATTTGCATTTCTCTGACTGCTAGTGATGGTGAGCATTTTTTCATGTACTTGTTGATTGATTGTATGTCCTCCTCTGAGAAGTGTCTGTTCAGGTCTTTGGCCCATTTGTTGATTGGGTTATTTGTTTTCTTATTGTTTAATTTTTTGAGTTCTTTGTATACTCTGGATATTAGGGCTCTATCTGAAGTGTGAGGAGTAAAAATTTGTTCCCAGGATGTAGGCTCCCTATTTACCTCTCTTATTGTTTCTCTTGCTGAGAAAAAACTTTTCAGTTTAAGTAAGTCCCATTTGTTGATTCTTGTTATTAACTTTTGTGCTATGGGTGTCCTATTAAGGAATTTGGAGCCCGACCCCACAATATGTAGATCGGAGCCAACTTTTTCTTCTATCAGACATAGAGTCTCTGATTTGATATCTAGCTCCTTGATCCACTTTGAGTTAACTTTTGTGCATGGCGAGAGGAGGGGATTCAGTTTCATTTTGTTGCATATGGATTTCCAGTTTTCCCAACACCATTTGTTGAAGATGCTATCCTTCCTCCATTGCATGCTTTTAGCTCCTTTATCAAATATAAGATAGTTGTAGCTTTGTGGATTAGTCTCTGTGTCCTCTATTCTGTACCATTGGTCCACCCGCCTGTTTTGGTACCAGTACCATGCTGTTTTTGTTACTATTGCTCTGTAATATAGTTTTAAATCCAGTATCGCTATACCACCTGATTCACACTTCCTGCTTAGAATTGCTTTTGCTATTCTGCGTCTTTTATTTTTTCATATGAATTTCATGATTGCTTTATCTATTTCTACAAGAAATGCCATTGGGATTTTGATTGGCATTGCATTAAACCTATAGAGAACTTTTGGTAATATCGCCATTTTGATGATGTTAGTTCTGCCTATCCATGAACAGGGTAAAGTTTTCCATCTTCTAAGATCTTCTTCTACTTCTCTTTTTAGGGTTTTGTAGTTTTCATTGTATAAATCCTTCACCTCTTTTGTTAGGTTGATTCCCAAGTATTTTATTTTTTTTGAGGATATTGTGAATGGAGTGTTTTTCCTCATTTCCGTTTCAGAAGTTTTGTCGCTGATATACAGAAATGCCTTTGATTTATGCGTGTTGATTTTATATCCTGCCACTTTGCAGAATTCATTTATTAGTTCTAGTAGTTTTTTTGTGGACCCTTTTGGGTCTTCTAGGTATAGAATCATGTCTTCTGCAAATAGTGATAATTTAAGTTCTTCCTTTCCTATTTTTATGCCTTTAATTTCTTTCGTCTGTCTAATTGCTCTGGCCAGTGTTTCGAGAACTATATTGAATAGAAGTGGTGATAGAGGGCATTCCTGTCTTGTTCCAGATTTTAGGGGGAATGCCTTCAATTTTTCACCATTGAGAATGATGCTAGCCTGAGGCTTAGCATAGACAGCTTTTAGTATGTCGAGGTAAGTTCCTGTTATTCCTAGTTTTTCTAATGTTTTGAACATAAAGGGATGCTGTACTTTGTCGAATGCTTTTTCTGCATCTATCGAGATGATCATATGGTTCTTATCTTTAAGTCTATTGATGTGGTGAATAACATTTATTGATTTCCGTATATTGAACCATCCTTGCATCCCAGGGATGAATCCTACTTGATCATGGTGCACAATTTTTTTGATGTGCCTTTGTATCCGATTCGCCAGAATTTTATTGAGGATTTTTGCATCTAGGTTCATCAGAGATATTAGTCTGTAGTTTCTTTCTTTGAGGTGTCTTTGTCTGGTTTCGGAATCAGGGTGATGTTGGCCTCATAGAATGAATTTGGCAGAGCTCCCTCTTTTTCTATTTCCTGAAATAGCTTGAAAAGTATTGGTATTAATTCTTCCTTAAAGGTTTTGTAAAACTCCGCTGTATACCCATCGGGTCCTGGGCTTTTCTTGGTTGGAAGTCTTTTGATTGCTTCTTCTATTTCATCTATTGATATTGGTCTGTTTAAGTTGTGAGTATCCTCCTGACTCAGTCTGGGCAAATCATATGACTTAAGGAATTTATCGATGTCTTCACTATCTTCTATTTTATTGGAATATACGTTTTCAAAATAATTTCTAATTGTCTTCTGTATTTCTGTAGCGTCTGTTGTGATATTGCCTTTTTCATCCCGTATGTTAGTAATTTGAGTTCTCTCTCTTCTTCTCTTCGTTAGCATGGCTAAGGGTCTGTCGATCTTATTTATTTTTTCAAAGAACCAACTTTTAGTTTTGTTAATTTTTTCAATAGTTTCTTTTGTTTCAATTTTGTTGATTTCCGCTCTGATTTTAATTATTTCTTGCCTTCTGCTACATTTGCTGTTGTTTTGCTCTTCCTTTTCTAGGGCTTTGAGATGAAGTGTGAGCTCATTTATTTGTTGGTTTTTCCTTTTTTTGAGGAATGACCTCCAGGCGATGAATTTCCCTCTTAAAACTGCTTTCATTGTGTCCCATAGATTCCGATATGTTGTGTCTGTATTTTCATTTATCTCTAAGAATTTTTTGATTTCCTCCTTTATGTCTTCTGTAACCCATTGATCATTCAGTAACATATTGTTCATTTTCCATGTGATGTAGGATTTTTCCTTCCTTCTTTTATCATTGATTTCCAGTTTCATTCCATTATGATCAGATAAAATGCATGGGATTATCTCCACCCCTGTATATTTACTGAGGGTTGCCCTATGGCATAATATATGGTCTATTTTTGAGAAGGATCCATGTGCTGCTGAGAAAAAAGTATATCCACTTGATGATGGTTGGTATATTCTATATATGTCAGTTAAGTCTAGGTTGTTGATTGTGATATTGAGTTCTATAGTTTCTTTATTCAACTTTTGTTTGGAGGATCTGTCCAATGGTGAGAGAGGTGTGTTGAAGTCACCCATAATTATTGTGTTGTGGTCTATTTGATTCTTGAACTTGAGGAGAATTTGTTTTATGAACGTCGCAGCACCATTATTTGGTGCATAAATATTGATAATTGTTATGTCTTGTTGGTGAATGGTTCCTTTTAACAGTATATAATGTCCTTCCTTATCCCTTTTGATTAACTTAGTCTTGAAGTCGATTTTATTCGATATGAGGATGGCCACCCCTGCTTGCTTACGAGGACCGTGTGTGTGGTATATTTTTTCCCAACCTTTCACCTTCAGCCTGTGTATGTCTTTTCCAATCCGATGTGTCTCCTGGAGGCAGCATATTGTTGGATTTGTTTTTTTAATCCATGTTACCAGCCTATGTCGCTTTATTGGAGAGTTTAAGCCATTAACGTTTAAAGTTACTATTGATATATGGTTTGTACTTCCAGCCATGTTTGATTATTTATCTTCTTTTTTTTTAAAATTTAATTTAGTTTGTTTCTCCATGGTTAGCTTTCCCCCCCCGCCCTCTGTTTTTATAGAGGCACTTCCCACTGATGGTTT